AACATTAATTATTAAGTAAAATAAATCTATCAAGACTTAATCTTGAAGTAAGTAAATTTTTTCTTCATTAAAAATGAAGATAATTTTACCAAAAAATAAAAAATAATTAAACAATAAAAAATATAAAAAAAATATTAATGTATTTATTATATTAGATATAACAAGATAATTAAAATATAATTAATAATATATATAATTTGGTAGTAAGTTGTTCACTCCAATTTGACTAACAATAAAATAAAATCTGTTACCATTGTCTTTATTGATACACTGCATTGTCCTTAATGATACACTGTATAACCCAACTGTTTAGCAATTGAAGTTATCAATTTTCATTGACAATATTACCAAATCCAGTGTTTGAAATGTTTTGTACCTTGGGTTTTTTTCCTTCCAGGATTCACAACCGTGAACTATAATCATTGACCGTTTGTGTTTAGCAGTCTGGAATCAGAACGGACCGTTCTGAAACCAGAATGGGTCGTTCTGGTTTCACTTTTAATGTGTTAATTTTGCATCTGGAACGGGCCGTTCCGGATGCAAAATTAACACACTAAAAGTGCAACCAGAACGGCCCATTCTGAAACCAGAACGGGCCGTTCTGGTTCCAGGTGTTTTCAAAAAATTTGGCATTCACGTGGCATTCACCTATACATCTACGTGGCATCCACGTGAATGCCACGTGGCCAACAGTTAACTCCGTTTAAATAATTTGGACGGAAGTCCTACATTGCAACTAATTAATTTATGAGGGATCAAATTGAAACTAATTAATTAATTTGAGACTAAATTGAAACTAAAAAAAAAAATGAGACTAAATTGAAACAAAAATTATTTAGCCTTTTTTTTTTCAAAACAACAGTACCCGCTTTTTTTTTCAAATGTAAGCTGCATTGATGCTAGAGGCCCAAAAGAATAAAGTTTGAAAGAGGTCCAAAAGATCTCCCACAGTAGCACGGAGCTGCGGAACCCTAAATCTTGAAGGAGTTGCGCCGGCACGCCGCCCAGCCCCAGCCCCAACCGGAGTTGCAGATTAGAAAGGTTAGCCACCATCAAACTAGAAAGTTGATGTGATTTTTTTTTTATCATATAGACATAGTTCATAGCAATAGGATAGCTTGTAATTCACAGATTCCCCAAGGTTTAGGCTGACTTGAGATCATAGAGAGAGAAAGATCATATTTTGTAATGGGTTGCCATTCCGAACCCGTACATGGTTTGTTTGTTAGCCTAGTTACAGGGCTGGTTGTAAAAACATTTAAACTATCATTTGATAATATCACAATGTGTGGGTACAGGTAGGAGGATTGCAAAACTCAATTGGAGTAGGTCCTGGTGACAAAGTGTTACTTATCTCTTTGTTCTCATGATATTAGAGAACTTCTTGTACTCTCCTATTTCTACATAGTGGAATTATCTTGCTCTTGATCGCCCGTGGTTTTTTCTCCGTCTTTGGAGTTTCCACGTAAACTTGGTGTGTATTTATTTTTCTTGTCTCTCTACTTACTTCTCTCTATCTCTAATTAACTTGATCCGGTGCTTCCGCATTCCGCTCATTCTTTCTGATACCCAACAAAACTTGTATTATTTAAATAGAATCATTGTAGATTTGTTGTAATCTTTTGAGTCTAATTTAAGATTATATTAAGGTTATATTTGATCATTTCATTTTTTTATTTTTATTTTTTTAATTATAATATTAATACGAAATATTTATTATTAAAAATAATAATTAATTTTTGTTAAGAATAAAAATGTACTTATAGTAATTATTATTACTCGTCATTAATATCAATATAAAGTGTTTATTATTAAAAGTAATGATTAATTTTTATTAAAGACTATAAATGTACTTAAAATAAATTTTCTTATATATTAAGTTAAGTTTTAAACTTTCAACAACTTGATTATCATACATAAGTTGATATTACTTATAGTGACTATTGTTACTCGTGATTTGTTTCTTAACATCATAAATGGGTGAACCAATTTGTTCCAAGACTCGCTTTCTCCTCACCCCACGACACCAGAAACCAAACACTAACCTTTTCTCAATTGGGGCACGCACACACAATGGCTGCAGCTAAACCATCTCACACCACCACCATCACACAAACCATTGTCCCAAAAGAAAGAGCGCACGTAGTGTGTTGTAATTGATAGAAGTTGGTTCCCCTGTTTCCCTCCACTGCCAAGGACTAGGAACCTCCAAAATCCAAAGTATAGTTGTAAATAAAAAGATGGTTGAAAGTGGCAAGTGGCAAGCCATATTGTAGGTAAAAAAACCGCACTAATAGGTTTGTGAACCTAACAGTTAGAACTTAGAAGGCTTGTGTTGAATTTGTTTTTTACGACATGAAGAAGGTATCGGGATTTATATTTAATAAGGAATTAAAAAAAATAAAAATGGAAAGGAGCAGTGGGGGTCTTTCCCTTTTTCGTTGCCTCTAACACTTGCTTCTTCTATTCCTCCACCACTCCCATGTCCCCTCCTCACCCTCACAGCTACTTCTCCAACCTCGGCCTCGGCTACTCCATCGCCATAGCCCTCGCCTTCCTCTTCCTCCTCTCCACCCTCCTCCTCTCCTCCTACCTCTGCTGCCGCGCCCGCCGCAACCGCACCCGCGCCGCCGCCCAAGCCGCCTCCAGAGCCAGGTCTGCCGACGGCGGGGTCATCCTCCCGCGCGTGATCTTCGTGGCCGAGGACGAGGACGAGGAGGAGGAGAGCGCCGCCGTGGGGCTGGAGCAGAGCGTCATAAACTCCTACCCGAGGTTCGAGTTCAGTAACAGGGAGGGCGCGCGGAGCAATAACACCACGTGCTCCATTTGTTTGTGCGAGTACAAGGATTCGGAGATTCATCATTCATATTTACCAAAACTGCAAAGGAGAGAATCAGAGGAAGCTCCACACAGTTTTCTTCGGAAGCGTATCGGAAGGGCGAGCTGGTTGAGTTGTATTTGGCATGGAGGAAGCTAGCGCTGCGCCTGGCTCACTGGTTGAGCTTGTTCTGAAGAAGGGTGACGCTATAGTTTAGGGTTTGCAGAATTGCAGCAGTTCCTGCAATAATGATAATTTTAGGTGCAATCTTTCTTCTCGATACACCAAGTTTTTTGATTGAGCATGGTAAAAGCGAGGAAGCGAAAAAAGAGTTAATGAAAATTCGTGGCACAAGCGACGTTGAGGAGGAGTATGTGTAAGGATTTAGTGGCAGCGAGTGAATCATCAAAGATGTTGATCGGGTACCCAGGAGCGAGTGAACGAGAAGCAGCTACGCAGTAGAACCTGTTCGAATGAAATGGAGCAGTTGGTGACGTGAAGCGTATTTGAGAAGTTAGAAAGTTTTGTATTTTTATTATAATTAATAATATAATAATATATAAATATAATATTAAAATATATATGAATATATATAAAAATAAATAAATATATAAAAGTTTTGGGGGAGCCACGGCTCCCCCCTGTCCCTTCAAAGTTCCGCCCCTGGTGGTGGATGATATTATGTAAGCATGAATATTACGTGGTATAGATTACATGACACCTTCTATAAATAGCACATGACACCCTCTATAAATAACATTGTGGTGGATGATATTATGTAGGCATGAATATTACGTGGTATAGATTACATGACACCTTTTATAAATAGCACATGACACCCTCTAAGTGGATATTACGTGGTGAAATAATAGCACATGACACCCTCTGTAAATAACACTGTGGTGGATATTACGTGGTTAAATAATTACTAAACAACAGATTACGCATGATATTACGTAAACAGGGATATTATGTGGTATAAATTACATGACACCCTCTATAAATAGCACATGACACCCTCCATAAATAACACAATCACATGCAATACAAACAGAAACAAAAAAAAATTGGACGAAAGAGCAAAGCAAAATGTAAAAAGAGAAATAGTGAAAGTGATAACGTAGCAATTTTACTTCTCTTAAGGTAAGGGGGAGGAGAACTTTATCTCTTTTAAAATTTTTTTTGCTAATATGTTTATTTAATTATGTTTATATTTTGTGTGTATTTATTTAGTGAGATGTCCCTAACCTCATTTATTTGCTTATTCTATAATAATTTTTACTCATAATAATTAATAAGGTGTTCATAGTTTATGTTGTCTAATTAATTTATAATGATTATTATTGTCATTTACATGATTGGCACTCTTATTATATTATATTTACGTAAACAATATTTTAATGATAAATATTCAAATTTATTTAGCGTATTTATTTTATGATTAACTATAATATAGTTTAGTTAAAATATCTTTGACTCGTCTTATTGTTATTTCTTCATGTATTTATAAAGATAAATATTATTCTATGGCCATAAGAATGAAAGTTTGAATTAATTTGTAGTTTGAGGTTTAACCTTGGGGATTTAAATGAGTAAGGAGTTAAGGTGAAAATTCCTTTTGTTGGTTGATATTATGATAATGCTCATTTATCCTGACTAGTCATTGCAAGTGTAATTCAAATTTATTTATATATATATATATATATATATTTTTTTTTTTTTTCTTCTAGTATTAACTATTGCTACGGATGTTATGTGATTATAAATATTTATTTAAAAATTGTTATCACTCCTTATGTTTCTTGTGTAATATATGTAATTAATTTATCAAAATAAATAAAAATAGATAAACCTACCAGCACTTTCAGGACCTTTCACTTCCATCATCTCCGCGGTATTTCCAGGAACCACTTGGTCTGTAGATGTCATTGCCAACTCATTCACTTTTCAAGAATTCACACTATCAACTTTTATGTTTTCTTCTACTCAAGAAATTTCTACCGTTATTGATGGATCGGTAGTGGTCACCTTTTTCCTACCTCCAACAAACCATGTCAATCCTATTGTGAACTTGTATCAACCAGATATGTAAACATTATAAAAGTAGTTTAAGAAATAAGTAGTTTATAAGTATGTACATTATTGTAAATATTTTTGTTTAATATGTGATGCAAATATAAAGTGCTATATGTAAGCAAGTTTATAAAATTTTCTTTTGTTTTATGTATAATAATATTAATGATATAATGTACATAATTATTATATACATGTAATATTAGAATTAATTTTTACACAACTAGGCGTTACACCATACATGTACAAAGTGACCAAATCGAGTAAGCTATAAGGTATGGGGCCAAAATCCCTAACTAAGTACTAAAAGGGGTGTAATATTTGAAGGATAGTTGACAAACTAATCCCATATGAGACTTAGTTATGCATGATAAGGTCGTGGTATCCTTACACCCAAATTTTCCTACCCTATTAGCAATCCTAGATTTTGTTAGTTTAAGTGGCGAAATTCAAAAAACTATGTTGTGTTGTGGATTTATATCTAAATTAGTTGTTGGTCTAGCTAACCCAAAAATATTGCGCTGTTAAGTTGGTTCGGTAGGATCAAGCATCTTAAATTGCTCACTTGTATTGTAAGAGATCTCTTAGTTGAATGTATGACGATATATATAATTGTTGTGTTGTGCATATGATGTGTTGATTATATTGTGTTGATTATGTTGTGTTGTTTATGTGCTACGTTAAATTGTTGATGAGTTGCATAGTTGTGTTATATCTATATTGGTTGTTAATCTAGCTATATTGAAAAGATCACATTGTTAATTTAGTAGGGTCAAGTCACTTAAATTATTCATCTGTATTATAAGAAATTTCTTAATTGAATACGTGACAATACATTTAGTTAATTTATTGTGCAAATATAGTTGAGTTGTTGAGTTGTGTAATACATATGCAATGTTGTGCTATTGATGAGTCACATCGTTGTATAATGTTTAGTTGGGATGATGTTGTTATGTTGTGTTGTTCTAGTTGAAGAACATGTTGTATTTTGTTGAAACATTGCAAGTTGATAAAATGTTAAGGTGAATTAAGTTGTGTATATGGGTAGTATAGTTGACCTTCCTTCTATACTTAATATGTAGTTTTCTTTTGATGACTAATTTATCCTTGCATGTGTTTCCTGTGATTGGTTTGGGACAATCATACTTGATATGAAAGCAGGGTAAAAATATCTAAAGGAGGGATTTTAGTTGGGAGTCAAGTTGGATGACAGTATTATTTTACACTACCATTTTTTCTTGTAATTGGTGCTTGATCATCAACTAAAATTTTCATATCTTTAATATAATTATTATATGTGTGTGTAAAATATGGTGTAGTTTCACCATATGAACATTTATATTCTTGGAATTGTTTTCTTTATTCCTATAACATATATTGTATGACATATATATCCAAATATTATATGTGTGATAATTTTAGATAATTGTGTTTATATTTTTCACAATTAGTAATCAAACTATTAAATACAGAGATTATGACATGTTATACAGATAAAAATACAATTCTTATATTTTTTATTATAATAAAAATATAAATAATTTAAGAAAAGTTGTGGGGGAAAAAGAAAGTGAAGAATATAGTGCAAAGCGTGAATTTGTGGTATAGGAATTGGAACATATACGATATGATTATACGTTGGGTTGGGATGCCAATTGACTCGTAGTCAGCAACATATTCGTAATCGTAATTAAGTGGAATTCTATTTATTCAGATTCTGTTTGTTGCGAGAGACATCTAAGAAGAATATTTACGAAAGTGAATTTCGAAATATCACGTTTCATATATAGTACTATAAGTTTTTGAACAAATTATTTTACGAATTGTTGATTCTCATAAATATAAAAATCTATTTTTTCTTCTTAGTTCTTATTTCTCTACTAAAAGGGAGTATTTTATATTCTCAATAAAATGGAAGTTTTTTTTTTTTTTTTTTTTTACATTAATTACTTATTCTTCCTTCATTCTTTCATATTTCTCCCAATTTTTTAATGATATAAATTTAAATTTGTTTATAATTATCAAATACCAATCAAACATGTTGATGAAAAATAATTCTCTCTCTATATATATATAACATGTAATTTTTTTACTCAAATATAAGAAAATTTTAACCAAATTAACTTTATTTAATATTCTTAAATAAAAAAAATAATTCTAAAAATAAATGAAAATGTTATCTATAATAAATATGATTAAAGATATTTTAATAAATTATATATATATATATATATATATATATATATATTTATATAAAACTGAAAGTTAATGCAATTAACTATCATTCTTAATATGTGTAAAATTAATTTTTTTTACATATACATCCAGAGGGAGTATTTTTAATAAAATAGTATGTAATACGTGATTATTAATAATATAATAATATATCTTAAAACAAATGTTCCTTAAATAAACTTAATTTAAAGTACATATCTAAAAAAAATTATGAAAATAAGTATATGTGTAATTATTTTAGGTTAGATTACATTTTTAGTTTTCCTATAATATCAAATATGCAAATTTGGTTTTTAAATTTTAAAATTTGCAATTTTAGTCTCTTGATTTTATAAAAATTGTAATTTTAGTTCCTTCATTAAATATTGATTTGCTAATTGTTAAAATTGCAATATTATTCATGAGTTAAAATTAAATAAATGATACTAACAATTAATATTTAATAGTATTCAAGCTAAATTTCATTTAGTTATTAGTTTCATCACTTAAAACTTAAAATTGATAAAATGAGATGAAAATTTGGTAAAAATAATAATTAAAGATATAATATAATTTAAATATAAATAAATATTAATTATCTTATAATTTATATAATGTTAAATCATGATACTTTATTTTACTATCTATTATATATATGAGGAATGCTAATATATTCCGACCTATTTTTTAGTTGGAGTATATTAGCAACCTATACTAAAATTTTAGAATAAAAAAATCACTCATTTCTTTTGATTTGATTAATTAATATAAAAAATATTATAGTAATTTAATTTAATTTTAAAAGAAAATAAAACATTTTCTCTCTCTTATTAATTTCATTCTCAACTCATTTTTTTTATTAATTAATTTTTTATTTGTTCAGAGAGAGGGGAGATATCATGAGAGATGAGAGAAAAATGAGTTAAAGAACGAATTTAATATGAGAGAGATAAATGAGTTAAAAAAAGAATTTAATAGGAGATAGATAAATGAGTTAGAGAAGATATTTAATAGGAAAGAGAAATGAGTTGGAGAAATAATTTAATAGAAGAGAAAAATGACTTATTTTCTTTTAAAATTAAATTAAATTACTATAATATCCTTTATACAAATTAACCAAATCAAAATAAATGAGTGATTTTCTTGTCCTAAAATTTTGGTGTAGATTGCTAACATACTTCAACTAAAAAATAGGTGAGAGTATATTAGCATTCCCCTATATAAAGTGTTATATATATATATTCATTTGAAGTAATATACATTGAGTCTATTGAATAAAATTATAAATATTTTTGAGAACTTTTGAACTAAAAAAAAAGTGTTTTAGTAGAAAAATTTTTAAAATATTTTTGAATTTGTATTCAAATAAATTTATTATCTAACTTTCACTTTCCAAATTTTATAGATTTGTCACAGTTTATACTCACATTTATTTAATATTAAATTCATAATAAAAATACAAATTAAATATATTTTTATTCTCTAAATTTTTGTTAATTTTTAGTTTTAGTCTATAAACAAATTTTATTTGATTTTAGTTTTTAAAATTTGCTTCCATGAATTTTTATATCAAGGACCAAAATCGTTAAGAAAGAAAAATCTAGAGACAAAAGGTGAAAATCATAAAATTTAGAGACTAAAATTAGTATAAAAAAAAAAAAGAATTATCTAAGAATTAAAAGTAAAAATTGAAAAAAAAATTAATGTCTATAAATATATTTAATCATAAAAATGTTATAGTTATATATCTTTATAATTAAGGTTAATAAATATTATTTTAATCATTTAATTTTCAGAAATATATTTAATCATAAAAATGTTATAGTTATATATCTTTATAATTAAGGTTAATAAATATTATTTTAATCATTTAATTTTCAGATAAAAATTAAAAGTCATAACCCTTTAATATTACCATTTAACATGTCACTATAGTACACATCTAACATTACATGAGCATGCGATTATTTTAACATGACCATGCTTTCTGGGATACATACAGCACAAGAGAAACTTGAAAAGGGGATAAAGTGTAATGTAGAGAGAGATTGTAAAGTGAAAGAAGGAAGCACAACAAAGCCACTTTAATTTTTTTGATATAACCTAAACCCTCCTTTTCCTCTGTTGCACTCTCACTTTATCAGCGTGACACGACCAACCTAAGATCAATGTGTAAGAACCTGTTCCTCTTTCTCTTCTCTTCTGTCGTTCCTTGTGTCCATTTCATCATGTTTTCTTCCTAATCCTCAAATCTTTTGCTCCCCAGTTCCTCTTTTGCTTCAAACTCCTCTTCCCCTTCCTAAAAATCGCACCTTTACTCCCATGGTGATGGGACACACCACCCCCTTCACACTCCTGTGTGTGATTCTTCTGTGTGCAACCCCTTCCCACTCAATTGATGTCCACCCACAAGACAAAGCCTCTCTTTTTCAGTTCAGGTCATCGTTGCAAGACCCCAACCAGAGTTTGGCCAACTGGGTAGGCTCCAACTGCACTTCATGGAGTGGAATCACCTGTGACAACACAACTGGGAGGGTGCTTTCCATCAACCTAACTAGCATGAACTTGTCAGGCCAAATACCCCCCAGTTTGTGCCACCTTTCATACCTCAACAAGGTGGGGCTGTCCCACAACAGCTTCACGTCACCCCTTCCTGAGTGTCTTGGAAACCTGCTTAACCTAAGAGCCATTGATCTCAGCCATAACAAACTTCATGGGGGGATACCAGGCTCTTTCATGAGGCTCAGGCACCTCACTGAGCTTGTTGTTAGTGGGAACCCTGGTTTGGGGGGCCCACTGCCAGCTTGGATTGGTAACTTCTCAACAAATCTTGAAAGGTTGCATCTTGGTTACTGTTCATTTAGTGGGGGGATACCTGAGAGCTTGCTTTACTTGAAGAGTCTCAAGTATTTGGACCTTGCGAACAACGTCTTGTCTGGTAATCTGGTTGATTTTCAACAGCCTTTAGTTTTGCTTAATCTTGCTTCCAATCAATTTGCTGGTACTTTGCCTTGCTTTGCAGCTTCAGTTCAGTCTCTAACTGTGTTGAATTTGTCTAATAATTCTATTGTTGGGGGGCTGCCTGCTTGTATTGCTTCCTTTCATGCCTTGACTCATTTGAACTTGTCAGGGAACCACTTGAAGTATAGAATATATCCTAGGCTTGTATTCTCTGAGAAACTTCTTGTTTTGGACTTGAGTCATAATGATTTGTCTGGTCCTATTCCCAGTAAGATTGCTGAGACTACTGAGAAACTTGGCCTTGTTCTTCTTGACCTTTCTCACAATCAGTTCTCTGGTGAAATTCCTGTGAAAATTACTGAGTTGAAAAGCTTGCAGGCCTTATTTCTCTCTCACAATCTTCTCTCTGGAGAAATTCCTGCTAGAATTGGAAATTTGACTTATCTTCAGGTCATTGATCTCTCACACAACTCTTTGTCTGGTACCATTCCATTTAGTATTGTCGGGTGCTTTCAGCTGTATGCTTTAATACTTAATAATAACAATCTTTCTGGCGTGATTCAACCGGAGTTTGATGCGTTGGATATCTTGAGGATACTGGACATAAGCAACAACAGGTTTTCTGGGGCTATTCCACTCACTTTGGCTGGATGCAAATCTCTGGAGATTGTAGATTTTAGTTCCAATGAGCTTTCTGGATCCTTGAATGATGCAATAACCAAATGGACAAACCTCAGGTATCTGTCTCTTGCTCAGAACAAGTTCAGTGGAAATTTGCCTAGTTGGTTGTTCACATTTGACGCGATAGAAGCGATGGATTTCTCGCACAACAAGTTTACTGGCTTCATACCTGATGTTAATTTTAAGGGTAGCTTAATACTTAACACAAGGAATGTCACTGTTAAGGAGCCATTGGTTGCAGCAAGAAAGGTTCAACTGAGAGTTTCGGCGGTTGTTTCTGATAGCAATCAACTTAGTTTCACTTATGATCTTTCCTCAATGGTTGGAATTGATCTATCCAGCAACTTGCTACATGGGGAGATTCCAAGGGGCTTGTTTGGGCTAGCTGGTCTAGAATATCTGAACTTGTCGTGCAACTTTCTCGAAGGACAGCTTCCAGGTTTGCAGAAAATGCAGAGTTTGAAAGCCTTAGATTTGTCACATAATTCCTTGTCAGGACATATTCCAGGAAACATATCTAGCCTTCAAGATCTGTCCATTTTGAACCTGTCTTACAACTGTTTTTCTGGGTATGTCCCCCAGAAGCAGGGGTACGGACGATTTCCAGGTGCATTCGCTGGAAATCCGGATCTGTGCATGGAATCTTCCAGTGGTGTGTGTGATGATGGAAGGACTCAATCTGTGCAAGGAAGTTCTTTCAGGGAAGATAGGATGGATGGACCAATATCTGTGGGGATTTTCTTTATTAGTGCCTTTGTTAGTTTTGATTTTGGTGTCGTTGTTCTCTTCTGTTCTACGAGGGCAAGGAATTATATTCTCCAAACAAAAGTTTGATTTGATACTTGTGAGTTGTGACAGTTACAAATCTCCTGTAAATTCCATTTTGTAATTTGGTAGCTGTCTTTCACAGTTTCAGGTGAACATAAACTTTTTGTGATTAGGAATACTATCTGGCCATGAACTTCACAAGTGTTACTGTGTTCTCTTTCCTACAATGTCCTTGCCAATCAGCATCACTGACCAAGTGTCTCAGAATTACTGGACCAAAATGTCATGATATAAGTCATAAAAGGTTTAAAGAACACCAATATTAGTATAAGTGAATGTTAGTCCTGCATCATTCAGCTGGAAAAAGAATGAATGAATATGATGAAGGTTTTGATCCGAGTAAAGACCAGTCCCACATCATTCTTTTGGTTGTTCTCATCTGCTGGAACTTGGTTGCATCAAGTTCATCCATTATTCATAATCAGTGGAGCAATCACATTCCCGATCAGATCTAATTATGGTGAAAATTTTGATCTTGGGCATCAAATTGCAGATTTACAAGCATGTTTACGTGAAGAGAACTCGTATCATTCTAGATTAACCTAGCCCTTTTTTGAAGTGGGGAACCAAATTTTACACATAGGTGCAGGCAAGATGAACAATTAGCTTTATACAAAAATTTTATTGCAATCATCACTCACTTAATGCTGTAAATTTAAATGATATTCTCATGAATTCTTTTTGTCAACAGGAACGAGGTTAATTGTTCAATTTATGTTTGTTGTTAAGTGCCACATGCTCGACAGAAAATTAGAAAAATTCAAAGTTTACCGTGTCTCCGATGTCGATACAAATAGTGTACTTTATATTAAGGAGAATATTACAAGTCCTGAAATATTAATTTATGAAAATAAAAATATCACATTAAAGATATAAGAATCATTCAATACTTATTTTGAAGTAATTAAAAAGATTAAATAAAAAGTACAAAATATTCTTTAGTGAATATCTTAGGATAGTCGATAGCAAGACATTATTATTAGTATGATTGAGAATATGATACCATCTAGAAATATAATCAGGCGAGATCTAAAATAATAAAGCAAATTTATTGACTATATTGAATTGTTTACAAAAACACAAGCTAGAACATCAAGTACTACGCGCAGAACTAATATTAATACATCGAATCTCTTCTAACATATGGTGTGCATGGAACATGCACCTTTGGCTTCGATTGCCAAAGAATTTAATCATCAGTAACAATAAGGTGCTCTCTAACCCAAAAGAAAAAAACCTGTCTTTCCCGGATTCTAATCCAAATTGGATGGCCAATTCTATAAAAGTCAAATTGGAATGTAATACCAAAACGGTGCCAAGCTCTTTAATACTTGTTGCAACAAATTTATTGCACATTCCTATCTGCACTCCATGGTAGCCAAGACCAGCCATAATCCATTTTTTCTAGTTTACAATTGCAATACTGTTCTAATATCTGATAGGACCATCTAGACTCCCGGATGCAAACTGCCACAACAAAAAAAAATAACACTAACATTACTATTTAGAGACGATTGCGTTATGTGATCAAACAAACAATCAAAAGGGCAACGAAAAACGTTAATTTAAGGAAGTTCAGTTTAGTTAAACCATCCAACTATCTTGCAAAAGGGTGGAGTGATCTGCTTCCCATAAACACAAACCAAGTGTCACTGTCATCATGTCCAATTTACTTTCAGGGAATCAAATGAGTCTAACAACTGTCTGCTTTTATTTTTATTGATACATTTTCAGAAGCATTACAGACACTCAATCACTGTTCCTGGTCATCCACTCTATCTATTGTTTCCAACTCTAAACACAACAATTTTGCATCTACCAAGTTCCATGGTATCTTAACCCAATGGCCTATTTACATATTGTGCTCACACTTCTATTAATGTGAAACTGTAAAATCATATAAAATAAGATTGGTGAATTAGGAGATAATTGAATCTTGTACAAAGGTAGCTCCTTAAAAGTGATTGAAACCTTTGGACATGGAAAGAAAGGATTTTCAAATGAAAAATACTAGACTCTCTCACAAATATTAAATAAGAGAAAAGGAGGCAAGGAACCCAATTAAGGCTAACTCATGTAAGAAACAAGATCTTTAAATAAAGTGAACTATTAAGGAGTTTGAACTAGGGTGACTTTCTAAATGGTACACTTAGATGTCATCCCTAATCCCTATACAAAGAAATTGAGGTCCCACAATTAAAAAAAAAAATCAGAAACCATTCATTGTTGACACCTATTAAGCAAAACAACTAACCTGCTGAACAATTGGATTTGTTGAAGTTGTAAACTCATGAGTCATTCCTTCCCAAACAATCTTTCCTTGGTGTAGAAACAATAATCTGTATGTATTTGTGAAGTCACTTTGCATATCAGGGTACATGAATTCTGGGCAAAATAAGAGGCTTCAGAGGGCAGGAAGACATGCAATCATTATGAAAATATCCTTACCTATCAATGGCTCTTTTAATGGTACTATGTTGATGAGTAACAACCACATAAGATGTAATATTCCCAGGTTTCCCACGTGCGTCTTGTCCTTTAATGTGCACCGAGCGAATCAGATCCTCAACAACAGTAGATGCAATGGGATCAAGTCCAGCAGTTGGTTCATCATACAAGAGCACCTGTACAGAAGTGCAAAATGTTGTTTATATTTTATAAACAGAAAAGAAAGGGGAAATCGGGGGGATCAACAAAAAGTGGAAAGTCTTCCTATGAAACTAAGTGTATGGTTATATCACTATTTATCTTGGTTTCTCCTTTGAGGTAACGATTGATACTGACAAACTAACCCCAAAATTTTGAGCATACAGGTATAGGAAATAGTATCAAGTGCCATAGATGCATAAGATTGTCTCTTGGTCAAAATTAACTGCAAGAACTGCATGTGGTTGAGGGAAAACAGTTTGCTCAGGGACAAAAGAGAGAACAGAGAAGGGGGATCTATGGCTTCCATAATAGCAGCATACAGAACATGTGTCAACATTTAGAGATGTCTAAGAACAAGATCTAGGTTCAATATGATCAATAAAAATCAGTCACAAAATAATAAAACAAGAGAATTGCATAACTTCAAGGTCTGCACCTCCCTGCCTAAAGGTCCCAAAACTACTCAATGAATGGATGTCCTTGGACCTACCTTTCTCTCCCTTTACTTTGCTTCTAACCATTTCCCCTTCCTACCCTCCTTGCTATGTAGGCAAGGCTCTCACAATCCAAATCCCTCTTTTTCCCTTTGCTCATATTTCCCACGTGGTCTAGCCTAGGAGTGCCTATCAATACCCCACCCCACTCCTTGGTACCGCTGCTAGAAACTAATGACCTACTTATGCAAGAAGCATAAGGGATCAAGAAAATACAAGTTCTACGACACTCCTTCCTGGTAGTAAAAATTTCAAACATTAATTAATAAGTACTTAGAAACAGCCTTAAGTAGTTACTAATCAGAGGGATGGTTGGGAGCTTAACGATAGAAAAGGTAAGCTAACACACCTCTGGCTCTATTGATTCTTTTGTGGTGTCACAAATAATAGATCGAGCTAAAGCAACTCGCTTTTTCATCCCACCTGATAACTCAGAGGGCAACCGCTCCTCAACTCCCTGTAAAAAAAAGGTGGGTGAGAAGTTAGTCTTTGTGTAAAACATAATGGCTATGCAAATAGAAGGAAGAAAGCAGAGTGTGACTAGCAGTCCAGCAATACAAGTATGGAGCAGCTTTCTCAATGGCAGACAGAAAGTGTATACTCCTACTGCTACCCTTTAATGCAGCATCTGCTGCCAAATTTAATGGTTTGGAACCACGTGCATACCTTCAATCCAACTGCAGCCAAGGTTTCCTTGACAAGCTCTGATATCTGGTCATCAGACATGGTTGAGTGTTCATACCTGAACAATCAACCAGGTCATAAACTAAAAATTAAAGATCTTACAAGACTCAAAATCAAATTAATCAATCAATTTTATTGCCCTTTAGACAACAATGTCAAAAAGGAGCTGAAGTTTGAAAGGCAAAGTTATGCCTGCAACTTACAAGAGAAAACCAACATTTTCACGAACAGTCAAAGAATCAAAAAGTGCTGCACTTTGGAAAACCTGTTTACAGATACATATAAATAAATAAGTTACAATGAAAATGTATTATCACTTAAGAATGAGCATATTACAGATTACTCGGAAACTTACTAATCCAATTCGAAGACCAGATATGTCATCATCGCTTACTAAACCAACTCTCTTTTTACCTCGAATATAAACTTCCCCCTGTCAATTTGAGAGCAATTGCATTCAAGAAATGAACTCGTATTTTTAAAATTAAAATCACTAGCCCAAAATCCAACATCAGATATTTACCTTGTCCGGAGCAAGAAGTCCTGCCATAATCTTCAAAACTGTAGATTTACCAGTCCCAGAGGGACCAATTATTCCAACAGCTTCACCATGCCTGATCTATTCATTATGTCAAAAATTAATAAAAAAAAAGTGAAAAGGATTTAGCAAGTTCTGAATCAGTAAGACCTCCTCCCACTTTTTTTTGACAAGTAGTTTCCATTCAATACACCTTTGCTCCAAATAAATTTATCAAAAAATTGGTTTCTAATAGAGCTCAACAAAGTTGTTTGCTTCATGTGACACACCCCACAATGAGGAACAAGGCTTGGTTGTTAATATTGTTGTAAGTTTCATGCAAGTTTGGTTTCACGTTAGATTCTTCAAAATCACGTTGAAATGCTGAAATACCAATTAACGTGATTTTAGGTCAATTTTCACATGTTTGATCTCATGTTAAGGAATTGATTCTAGGTACATAATTGATTCTAAGTTGAAACAAATTTAGGTAGCTTTTGTGTTAGATGAAAATTTTATAGTTTCTTAGAAAGTGAATTTGGACCTAACTCAACCTTACAAAATCAACTTATATAGTGAAAGTTGTTCTCACTTATATATTATTTAATTATTTTATTTCTAATCAATTTGAGACTTAAGTTTTTTCCCAATAAAGTTTTAGTATTAACTTCTTTTATAATAAAAACATTCAAACATAAATCACATAACTTCAAAATCCCTTTTAACCAAAACCAACTTCATTCAAAATCAATTTTGCCAACACTCATCGAAACACAAACATCATGCTAAACAACACACTCCACAAAAACAATGAAAGAGGCAAACAAAAACGCCAAAGGATATATTGTCAAGTACATAACCCTCACCTTGAAGCTTAAACCATTTAAAATTTTCTTCTCCCCAAAAGACTTGTACACATCTCTACACTCAATCAGAACATCAGAATCATCCTCATGATCCCGCGCCGTGCTCAACTGTTCTGATTTAGACAAACCCTAGCAACAACCAACAAGCTCGATGTCAGCCACCCAGAAGAAAAAACCAAAACTTTCCGATTACCCAGAAACCCAAATTCCCTCAACACCCAATCCCAGCAGAGAAAAGGCAACAACAGTTACACCATTGAAACAAAAACGAGGGAACCTGCAATGGGTATGCAACAAGAACATGAATCAAATTATGGACATTTACATTGAAATTAATGGGGGAAGAGTCCTGGCTCTTGAAGTTTTGCGGGGGTGCGATGCAGGCACAGACAACCTTCCTGTGATCCCTGTTACGGTGGTTGTTGTAACGGAAGGAATTGGGAGGGGGGATTCTAGAGGAAGCGTTTTGTGCAGTGAGGGAAAGGAAAAGGGTGGTGGAAAGGGAAACCATGGTAATGGGGAATGGGGAATGGGGAATGGAGAATGGAGAATGAAGAAAAGAAAAATATAATATAAGTGGAGCTATGAGGTGGAAAGCATGTGATTCATATGGGTTTTATGGTTTCAAAGGGCAATGATGAGGGTCAACTGGTAATGGCCGGTGAATTTGATTTTGAGAAGAAGAAGAAGAAAGAGAGTAATTTCGTATGGTTGTTGCTTGGGATTGGGGATAGCCTTATTCTCTTTCTTTCTCTGTTTTCTGAATCAAGGTATCGATCCGAGATTAGTTTAGCCCTCACTCTAGATTGGGATTTGGCAAACCATGACAAATCAACATTCAACATTCAACATTAGGGCTAATGTTATATCATTGGCTCCTCGCTCTCACTCTTCCAAACTTCCACACGCAACTTTTTTTCTTCTTATATCCAACATAAGTAGTACATACACTAATCATTTTCTTTTCTAAGCACAGACAAACTTAATTAATCTTTATCTTTTTTGTTTTTATAGTTAAAAATATCGTGTTTTATTCTTTATGTATGTCTTTTTCTTTTTAAGTCTATGTTCTTTATTTATTTTTTTATTTTATGAAGACTAAAAAAATATTTAACTATTATCATATAACAATACTAATAAAACTGCATATAATGTTTTTCCTTTTGGTTACTATTAAATTATTAATATATTATACTGGTTTTTTCTTATATCTCCAAACATCATGAGTTGGTTTTCTTTGGTCTAGAATAATCAAAATTAAATTATATGATTTTTTTTCAGCAATTAAATTATAAGACATGTCTTATATTTTTAGATTTACATATTTTTAGTAACTTTAAACTGACGAAATCCAGGTATGAAAGTAATTAAGATAATATCAATAAGTAATTATACTAGACTTGATTTACATATTTATGGTAACTTTAAACCGACATAATCAAGTATGAAAGTAATTAAGGTAATATTAATAAGTCATATGACAATACTAACAATACTTATAAAACTGCATATAATCCTTTTGGTTACTATTAAATTGTTGATATACTCTGCTTTTATATGTATATATCCAAACATCATGTGTTGGTTTTCTTTCGTCTAAAATAATCAAAATTAAATTATATATGCTTTTTTTTCGGCAATTAAATTATAAGATATGTCTTATATTTTTAGATTTACATATTTATAGTAACTTTAAACCCACATAATAATCAAGAAAGTAATTAAGATAATATTAATAATATCTTGTTAAGTAAAGTATTGGGTTTGAGTTTTGTTTGTGAAAAATATGTAACTAAAAGGAAATTTTTTATTAAAAGTGACCAGTCAGATTTCTCGATAAAAATTAGAATCAACAAAGTTAATAAATACTTCATACTAGTAATTTTTCTCATTTATTATTCATATAATAAATAATTATATTTTTGTTTGTCACAACTTTGTTTGCGGGTGTGACTTGTTTATTAAACAAGCATAGATTTAGACTTTTATTTTTCTTATTTTTTTTTTACAACAATATAGACTTAAGACTTTAAAAAAAACTCATTTAAGAGATGGTAAAAAGCTAACAAAAAAAAAAAATAGGATGGTAAAACGGGTCTCTTGACCCATGGACCATATTTATTATCTCACTAAAGAATGGTAAGTCGGATTAGGCATCTTAGTCCATTGATCTACTTAACCTGTTCCACCTAACCTGTTTGCTTGCCATGCCAAATGTCACTCGTCCTAACCCACCTATTTTTTTTTTGTGTATATATATTTTTTAATGTTAAGTTTAAATAATTTAATTTATTTTATTATATGTAATTTGAACTTTTTTTATGTAATAAATCTATTAAAAGAGTTGTTATTATTATTATAATGACATTTTTATTTTACTATGTAACAAATTTGAAATTTTTTATGTAATAAATCAATCGAAATCTATTATAATTTGATATTTAGTTTTTTATTTAGGTACACTAACTTATATGAACCCTTTAGATATTGATAAGAAAAAAAATGTTAGAAAAGATGTCCAAACTAAATATACATTTTTTTTCTTTATTTCTTTATTTTTTTAGCAAACTCACTCACTGACTCGACAACTCACCCTAATACGAGATGCTAAGACATCCAACCCATTTTATTTGGTGGGTCAATCTAACCCAACTCATTTATAATGAATTAACGATGAGATAAATTTATACAAATTAGACTAACCTATTTTATCATTCTTAATTCATTTTAATGAAAATATCATCACTTGTAATTTTAATAAAACCTATTAAACTTAATAGGTATTCTATTTATATAAATTTATATTATATAATGTTATTATATTTCATATCATGTTGCATAGTTATATGTAATACATATATTATTACACATTGCGATATAAAAGCTTGTAATTATAAATAAGCCTACCATTTTTTTACAAGCCTCTCGACAAAACAAACTTACACATCAAACTTTTATGAAGTTCGTACTTTTAAAGAACCCTGCGACAAATGAATAGATTAGACTCCAGCCTATATTCCAATAACAATTTAATCCGAAATTAGTTAGACAGTTATATTAATTGCTTATTTTGTGAAGTAAAATTTTCTTTCACAATTGTGTAATATTTATTATGTAATTTGTGGTGTACTAAGTATTTCAATAATTATTATAGTATTATAATATATTTTTAGCATTGGCTCTAAAATTTTAAATAAGTATATAAGTTTTTTTTATAAATAAAACAATTTAATTTCTTTTATGCACACGTATTTTGTTACACGGCTTTGTAAATCGGTAGATGAGATTGTTTTATAATATATAGTCATTTTTTTGCAATAAAAACATGTTCATACAAATAATTATCACAATAGTTGTCGATTCTGAGTTTTGAAGAAAAAAAATAATTAAAAATATTTTTAAAAATGGGCCAGCCCAAAAAGTTTATAGCTCACATAAGGTTGAACTTAGGCATCAATTTAGAATATCAATAATCAAATTCAATCTAGTCGTTTTAATCCAATCATTACAACTCATAGTTCACAATGGGCCAAGCAATGGGTTGGGTAGTTCTTTTTCCAACTCTACATGGACCCCAACATTCATTTGAATGATCGAGGTGATGAGCAACACTAAGATCCTTTTATGTATTAATTGGTTGTCTTAATTACCTCACTCTGTCTTGTAAAGATACCACCTATGTTGTGAATTGCCTCGATCCATTTATGGAAAATCCTCAAACACTTTATTTTGATTGTTCATAATCTATTATAATATCTTAGAGTTGCTATAAGATAGGGTATTTTCCCCTTATTAATTCCTCTATTTGAATTAGAGTTATCAAAATGGATCATTCGATTTGGTTTGATCAAGTCCATCACAAGTTGACTAATAGGTGGACTAATCAAATCAGTCTCACCTTCTAGTAAGCTTACAAAAAATGAACTTAACCCGACTCACCATGGGTTGACTTACTTAATTTTAAGAGAATAAAATAAAAATATATTTTTTTAATGTTCAACACTCCAACAGTTCTAACCATAATCTTTTTTTAAAATACATGTCCAACCAAAAATTTGTTTTTTAAAAATCATAAAATCTATCCAACCAAATTTGTTTGTGTGTGTGATTTTTGAGGGCTAGGCTCACTAGGCTGTGGATTTTAAATTTTTTTATGCCAGTGAGTTGTGGTCTGTGATTTCATTTTTTTTCTACATTAGTGGGTTGGTGAGCTAGCCTGACACACCACGGGCTCAACTTGAGTGAGCTGAACTCTTAGTAAGTTGGGCTAAAGTTTTAGAAGTACTAAACCTTGTAAAAATTTTTGAGCCTAATTCGACTCAAACCCATAGTGGATCGAGTTGACTCATGAGTTATGACCCGTTTGACAGCTCTAATTTGAATTATTAATTTTATTGATGTTCATGAAACCCGTACATCAACCACTAGTTTTTGTGACATCATGGCTAATTCACTCATATCATGGAAGTCCAAAAAAAAATCTACGATATGTTCTCTTTAATTGAAGTTGAGCATTGTGTCATTGTCACTTTGACCATTGAATTACTGTAGCTTAAGCAAGCACCGTGTATGTTTGAAGTGGCAGTCTACTTCATAATTGTTAGGTCAAAAGACAATATTAGATCCTCCAATTTTAAGTTCAAGTGTTAACAAACAAAAAAGATATTGATCAACAGTATAAAGTTTAAAAAAAAACAACTAAGATGAACCTTCTAAGACACAATTCGTTAATAAGATAAATCTTTGTATAAGATGAAAGCTACATTAAGACGATTTTGTTATTAAATAAGACGAACCCTTAATCATAAAAAAGTTGCAGTAAAAAATTGTTTCATCACTGCAATGTCTCGACACACACATGACTCAACCCACTTGGTACCTAAAATGTGATAAGTAACTTTTTTGACTAGATAAGACATGACAATTTGATGAAAACATTTAATGCAAACATTTATTACATTAACAAACATTTTTTTCTCAATAAGCAAATCATGAAGATAGGTGAAGCAAACCATGAGAGAGAAGCTAAAAAATTTGCAACAATCATCTTCACTGAAATCCTATAAAAGGAAATTTGAATTTTAGAAAGATACAATGATGACAATTTGAAAAATGAAACATTATTTCTTCATTCTTTCTGTAATCAACTTTGTAGTTAACCTATTGTATCACGTTTTGAAAGGAAGACAAAACAACTTTGTAAACCTTTTTATAACTTTGAGTTATTGAGTTTTAGTCTGGAGAGACTTGTTTGTAAAATAATATTTTGTATTGAAGTTTAGAGAGACCATGTAAAAAAAAATACTTTAGTTGTTGCTTAAAGAAGCAAGTCAAAAAATACTTAAAGTTTAATCATAAGTGACTTGGTAAAAAACACTTGCATCATTGATAAGATAATGAAATTTGATCTAGTTGGATAAAAAATTGGACGTAGTCTCAATAGTTAAAATGAACCAGTATAAATTTTTGAGTTCATTCTTTGTTTTATTTGCCCTTTCCTATTAGTTACGTTACTACTTCATTACTTTATAAAAAAGTGAGAGTTTTGAGAAATATTATTTAATCCCTCCTTTTAGTGTCTTTTTTTTTCTCTATAATAATAATGTTTTGTGAACATAAACCAATCATTCAATTACACATAATCCCACAACTCATGAAAGACCAAAGCATGTTGACATATGCTGCCATTTTATTCATCAACACATACAACTTGGTTTCCTTAACCTTATTCATATGAAGTCTCACGACCATTCCTCATTCTTAGTTTCTTAGTTTGATATATAATTTAGGGATTAAAAACATTTATCATCTCACTTAAGGGGGAGTATCATGATTACAACATAATCAAAAGTTTGTTAGATAGTTATATTAGTTGAGAGTTGGTTAAGTCAAATTGTGCTTCATAGATGTGTTGTATTTGTTATAAATTATGTAAGAAATATGTTTTTGCAATCTTTTCATCAATAAATGAATCATAACTTACAAACATATCACTAATTTTTTTTTTTTTGGGTTCTTTGTTCTCTATAACCGGTTAAAGTTCAATTTAACCGACATATTTTCTCCCTTAATTAGTAATCTTGACTTTGAGTCTTAAATATGCAATTGCATTAATTATCAAGAAGAATATATTTTGTTGCCTATAATTCTTTTACTTGACTTGAGCAACATTGTCTTTTATGTATAATGTGACAATTTAAGGCTCATTAATGTGCAATAAGATACTTAACACATAACTTAGTTTGAGGGAAATGAATCGGAGAAAATTTTATGAACTTTATTTTTTGTTTAGTTCAATTTTTAAGAGAGAAATACAGGGAGTAAAATCTCTCTTCATCTAATTCTCTTTTAAATTATCTTCAATATAATGTCTAAATTATTTTAGTTTGTGCTTTTAATTTCAAAATTATAAAAGATATAAAAATAAATTAGTTTTTAAAATATTTTTCCCATCGTAAATCAAACAATCCTCCCCATTCCCTCCATTAAAATCCCCTCTTCCCTTTCATCTTAATTAAACAAGATTTTTAACCCTCCTCTCCTCCTTTGAACCAAACATATCAATACATACATCAACAATTTTTTTATAAGTTAATTTGACCAACATAAACTCATTTGTTAATCAAGGTTTCATTAATAATTTTTAACTTATTTTTATAAACTACTTCATCTAACTTATAACTTTTATTAAACTCCTAATTTTTTCTTTCATTTCATTTTCATTATTTTATTTTAAAATATTTTTTATATCATATTATAAACTTTTGAATATGTTATTTTACATTAACCAACTACCTTATAAATATAATTTTGGTTTATTAATAATTTATCATTTTTTTACTTTTACTCCTTGTATTTTTTTTTTAAATTTCACCCCTAACCTTTTGTAACATTTGAAAAATAGTTTCTACCATCAATTTTCATTAAAAAAATCTTATTGACAAATTGAAAACATATTATATTCTTTATATTCCACTTCACCATTGTCACATAAGTAAACTGATTTTATTTTTTTAGATAAAATTATAAAATGCACTTCACTATTGTTACTTTGTACTTTGCGCGTGCCCCTTCTTCAAACTATAGAATGCCAAATCCTAGCTAGCATTGGTGGTAGAGTTGGACCCCTGACCTCTCTTCTTTGATGGGGTGTCCTATTTATAATTGTTACGGCGGTCATGGTAGGAGGGGACAATCTTGATGATCTTGAACCAATTGGCACAATTCTTTTTAGTCTTGGAGGAGACGATATTGACGGTGGTGCCAACAAAGTGGTGAATGCTCTTGCAATATATGAGTTTCTATATAATTGGGGAGTAGTCGAGCATGAGGTTGAACTCCTCAATAATGAGATAACGAGTGGTTGTAACTTTGCAAAAACGATGATTATTGAGAACAAACTCAGTAAAAATTATCGATATTGTGAATTGTGTGAGAAATTGCTCCTCGTCAAGGAGATTGAACCATTAGAATTTGGATCGAAGAGGCAATCATAAGGATGAGGGTGAGAATTTAAGTGTAATACAATGTGTTTTTAAATTTTGTCTTAAAAATTAAAATAAATTTACTTACTTAAGAATGTTGAATTGAAATATATCAAATATGATATATATTCTATTTGTCATGTAGGATTTTTTTAATGGCAATTAACAGTAAATACTACTTAAAAAAATTATATTTAAACAAATTTTTATTAAACATTTTCAATTGTGTGGAAACTTATAAATTTAAAATTTTAACTAGTTTACATGTGTGGTAAAAAAAAAAAAATTATAGTTTCTATGTCAGAAAATTAAGTTTGTTAAACAATTTCCTCCGCATTCAATTTCTCTACGTAAAATAATAATTATATAATATTTATTAACATTTATAATAATAATAATTATTCTACAAATCAAATCAATTAAAAGTCATTGAATAAAATTATTACTTTTCCTCTCAAATCTTGTAACACTAGTTTGCGAAGGAAGTTTGAGGAAAAGGGAATTACGAAGAAAAAAATAATCTCAAACAGTGGCTTATTATGAGGCATGAAATCCTGTTCTACTCCATATTCCGTAATTTCCCTGCATATTCCCCAATTTCAAGGAACCAGCCAACCAAAAGAATCTGAAACATTTCACCCGCTGCTATTGCGTGCGTGTCCACTATTTTCATTTTCCCTTCGCTTGTTTGCCCCACAATAACGGTAGTAGACCGCGTAACACCCAATCAGATCCACCCAGCGTCGGTGGTTAACGCCCTCTCCCACCCTCCGCCACCGCACGCCGATTCCGATCCAGCATGTTCAAATTCCTGAAGGAGGTCGTCGGCGGATCTGGCACCGGCATCAAGGATCTCCCTTACACCGTCGCCGAACCTTACCCTTCCGCGTGGGGCTCATGGACTCATTCTCGCGGCACCTCCAAGGTACAATTACAACAACGCTTTTTCACCTTCCAATTCAACACTATAAATAACCAAATCACACTGCCACGTCACTCTCTTTCAGGATGACGGTTCTCCCGTCTCCGTTTTCTCTCTCTCCGGCTCCAACGCTCAGGACGGTCACCTCGCCGCCGCGCGCAACGGCGTCAAGCGCCTCCGAACTGTGAGTTTCACCTATCCGATTCTTAATTTTCGGATTTATGTATTTATTTTGGATTGCGTCGTTTTGATTGTGCTGTGGACTTGTGTTGTGATGTTGCTGATTTTTCAGGTGAGGCATCCGAACATCTTGTCGTTTCTTCACAGCGCGGAGATCGAGACTCACGATGCAGGCTCTCCTAAGGTCACGATATACATTGTGACGGAGCCGGTGATGCCGCTGTCTGAGAAGATCAAGGAGTTAGGGCTTGAAGGTACACAAAGGTATCGATTGAGTTTTTCATGATTTGATGTCATGCATGGAGTTCTGAAGTTGTGAATAGCACTATGTGTGTGATGTATTTTTTGTTTCTTCGTGTGAGTCACTTGTGTACTTTCAAGTGTCAATTGAGTTATTGATAATTTAATATCGTGCATGTGGTTCTAAAATTGCACATAACGTGGTGTGTGATGTCTTTTTTTTTTTTTTGATCGTGTGAGTGACTTTCGAGTATCCATTGAGTTGTTAATATCAGGCATGAGGTTATGAAATTGCACTTGACATGCTGTGTGATGGTGTTTTTGTTCGAATGAGCGACATCATTTGGTCGGTGAATTGAGGAATCCGATGTGGTTACTTGCTTGTTTTGTGTGTTACTGGGCTTTGTAGGGATGAATATTATGCTTGGGGTCTTCATCAAATAGCTAAAGCTGTGAGCTTCTTGAATAATGATTGTAAACTTGTAAGTATCAAGGAGATTCCTTTTTTGGCTCTTTTTATTTTATTTTAAATTTTTTTTTTTGACAAGTTTTATCTGTTGTAGGTTCATGGTAATGTTTGCTTGGCTAGTGTTGTTGTAACACCAACTTTGGATTGGAAGCTTCATGCTTTTGATGTTCTATCAGAGTTCGATGGGGGCAATGAAACGTCTTCTGGCCAAATGCTGGTAAATTGACATTTTTGTTTGCAATGCATTGTCTTGTTAGTTCTCACATTTCTATTTGAATATACATTAAGCGAAATACTTACTTTACTCTAGAGGGTGAAAGCTTCTTGGTATGAGGTTAGAAGGTCATGGCATGCTAAAACTCTTTGGTAGACTGAAGTCTGTCAACTAAAACTCGTTCTCATATATTGGCCATTTCTAACTTTATGAACCTTTCTAACGTTCATGTCATGAAAAAATTGATATTACAGATGCTCCCTTGTAATGATTTGATCTCGATCTGGCCTTCTTTCTTTATTTTAAAATAAAAGATATGGAGTTTGGAGACCAAATATAGTCCTCACAAGTTTTAGTGCTTCCCGTTCAGCAATATGCATGGCTTGTTGGATCACAATACAAACCGATGGAGTTGGCGAAATCAGACTGGGATGCAGTTAAGAAGTCTCCTCCATGGGCAATTGATTCTTGGGGCATGGGTATGTCGTCTTCTGTTTATTTTGATGATAATTTATAGTGATAGAAATTTGGTTTATATAGTGGAGTGGTACACAAGAATAATCTGTTATTTTTGCATCTTTAGTTGCTAGCTTTGGAAAAAGTTTCAGTCTTGCCAAGCCTAGTCAGTTAGTCACATGACCCTAACATATATGTTACAATTTGTTCTCATTTAGAACTCAGAACTGGGTAGTTCCACTGACACTGAGAATATCAAATGAAATTTTCTAGTTTGTAAGAAATTACACTAGGGGGTGTTAGGAAAATTTTAAAACTAGTTTAAAAGGGTACACAATGGAGCTGCTTACACAAGGTAATATGAAAATAAACCAGTTCTTAACTGGGCATAGTTTGGTTCGAATTTACTGCAAAACTAATTTAATATTGATTTATTTATATAAATGTCAAAGTTTGTGATTTTCAATAAAGTAAGCATGTTAATCTGGAAAATATGTAGGGATCAACAATTGGGCATTGGATGAATTATTTGTCCGTGTAACTAGCTTTTCCAATAACCATTCTTAATTCTGGCTGAAGGATAGAAAAAGGGAACATGAAATGGAGGCGAGTTAGCCTGGAAAAATTTGGACTACAAACAAGGAAACAAAGAGTTGGATTGAGCCAGTTTTGTCCCATATTTAGCTCAGATAAGAACTAGTTTTTCAATAATGGTATAATAACCAAACAACCTATATCTAAAAACCACCCCCACCCCCACTCCATCTGTATATCTGGTTTTAAAAATTTGCCAAGCATTCCCTTGTTTTCTTGTTTACATATTGCAGGTGCAATTATTATAATTTCTCCTCTGCCCACTTATATCTGAGGGGATGTTTCTACTTGCTTCTTTCGTTGAGAAGGGATCATAATGCCAATTTAGTACCCAAGGAACAAATCAGAAATATTTTATAACAACATTTGCATAATTGTTGCCGATAATCTTGTTCATGCAAACCTGAATAATTGGATGTGTTTCCAAATTATGTTTACAAATTATGTAAAACCTTTTTGTTCACATGAAACTTCAGTAGGAATTTCTTCATATATTAGAAGTACCTTTTCTCTCTTGAGAGTTTAAATTATGTTAACTTGGACATATGTTGTAGGTTTGCTGAATAATTTTTGTCTACTGTCTATTTTCCTTTCTTTGTATACCTCTCTAAGGTTTTTAAAAATCACAATTTTATAGGCTGCTTAATCTATGAGGTATTCTCTGGTCTGCGGTTGGGCAAAACAGAGGAGTTACGCAACACTGGTTCCATTCCCAAGGTCAGCAGCCTGCTTAGAATTCTCTTTTTCTTTGATGATTTTATGATTTCATAAAATAGGTTTATCTACTGGTTGCTCTAATGTTACATTCTTCTGAAAAATTCATTTTTCATCTTTGTACGTCATTTTTTTTTTTTTTGCTCAGTCTCTGCTTCCAGATTACCAACGATTATTGAGTTCCATGCCCTCTCGTAGATTAAATACATCAAAGCTTATAGAAAACAGCGGTGAGTGCTTGTTGATATGTTTATACTTCATCATTTATGGAATTGGTTCATCTAACATCAAAGTAGTTTTGCTTTCTTGTTTGAAGGATTCATGTGTTTTGTTGTTTATATTATAAGTTATATAGGATCCTATACATGCATAATTAATTGTATAAGAAGGATTGTACATTAGAAAAATTTGATGAATTTTAGTTTTCTTGTGAAGACAATTGAATATGTGTGGGTGGGTCATGCGAGGCAGAGAAGAAGGATTCACTTTATCATGGTATTATATATGTGTAGTGAGGGTCACTGTTTAAACAGAGTTATATTAGCATCTTCTAATGTAAATTAATTTTAGCTTGTCCATATTTAGATGGGGATTTTTCTGCTTCATGGTCACCTGTAAACAAAAAATAAAATCTGCTTCCACATCCTATAACCCTTTCTATGTAAACATTTGACTTTCTTAATTTGATGATTGTCATAATTTGCGCTTCTAAGTCCTGATGTAATTCTCTTTAATCCTATCTTTTTATATAGTTTGAGTTTCTTAATAATGGATATGCAGAGTATTTTCAAAATAAGTTAGTAGACACAATACATTTCATGGAAATTCTCAGTTTGAAAGATAGTGTGGAGAAAGACACATTCTTTCGCAAGCTTCCAAATTTAGCCGAGCAACTTCCTCGCCAGATAGTGTTGAAGAAGGTATATTTCTATGGAATTTCTATTTATTAACTATTAAGGGATCACCCTTTGTCATCCAGTTTTTTTATGATATTTGATTTTTTTTTTATTTTCACAGTTAGTTCCTTTATTAGCTTCTGCCCTTGAATTTGGTTCAGCTACCGCCGCAGCTTTGACTGCATTGTTGAAAATGGGTTCATGGCTTTCAGCTGAGGAGTTTAATGTCAAGGTAAATAATAGTTTGACACTTTCATTTCATGTCAACCATTTTCTTTTCCCTTCCATGCAGTGCATAATTTTATCTCCATTTTACTCTTTTTAATTAGGATTCAACTCCATTCTTGTATTGGATTTCTATATTCATATCTAGGTGCTTCCAACAATTGTAAAACTCTTTGCCTCCAATGATCGAGCTATTCGAGTTGGCCTTCTTCAACATATTGATCAATATGGGGAGTCTTTATCAGCACAAGTTGTTGATGAGCAAGTATGAAGTCAATTTCTCTATTTTTCATTTTGTTCTTGACAATTCCTTTGTACAATATGCTAACTTTTTTTTTTTTTTGGCAATGTGGATACTTAAAAATTCTTATTGACACATGTAATTAGGTTTACCCGCATGTTGCTACTGGGTTCTCTGATACATCTGCTTTTCTCAGGGAACTGACTCTTAAGTCTATGTTAATTCTGGCTCCAAAGGTAAGTCTGTCATATATTGAGAATTTGACATTAATGGATTTTGCTTTTTTCCCTTGGTTTCATTTTTAAAATTCAAATGTGTTATTTGTCTTATTGGAATGTCTGATACATATAACATTTACAGCTAATTGGTGTTTGTATAGCATGTTTGACCTTTTATTGTTAAATTTACACTGAAGAAATATCTGTTTGAGGGGAGGGATGATTTTTCTAATTCAGTAAGCTATTGACTTTTCTAATTCAGCTGAGGTCTAAGTTGTGTCAGAGCTTGGGAAATAGCACAGATCTGTTATTGCTCTTTGGTGCATTTTAAATAAATGTTCATAAGATGCTCAGATATGAAACTATAAGATTGGGTTTGCATAAATGCGATGCATAGTTTGCTTTATATTGATATTTATAATACTAAATGGTGATCAAATTCTGATTGACTCTTAAGTATCATGTACATTAGAGCTTGCATCCTGTATCTTTACTGGTCCGTTTCTTTTTCCCCTTCCTTTCCTAAATCTTCTCACCTATTTATCTGGTGAAACTTCACTGGAGTATTGTTTGTTTAATTGTGGGTTGTCTTGTAATTGCAGTTGTCTCAAAGAACCATGTCAGGGTCGTTATTGAAATATCTGTCAAAGTTGCAGGTACTGCCTCAACCAGTTTTGTTTAGTGAATCAAATTATCAGAAGTCTAGCTGCATGTTTCTTACTGAGGAAGTGATGAATCAATAAGGCTTTTCTTTTACTTTTTCTTTTCAATAAAAAAAGTGTTATAGACTCTGTCTAAGAATCTTGGATTTGGGAGACCAATATGATGAAGCAGAAAAAATTGAACTGTCCCATTAAAATTTTATAATATATTGATCAGTACACAGCTCCTTTTTTTTGAAGAATATGCATATTTCTATCTGAAAATTTACTGATAACCCGGCTGCCAATTTTGATTGAATGCAAGCATTTTAGTCAGGAAAAATATGGTTTTTATTTATATTATTTGCTTCTTCATGTTAATGCCTTCATGGTTTTTATTTCTAAAATGTGTAAGATCTGCATTTTGCAGGTTGATGAAGAACCAGCAATTAGAACAAATACTACCATATTATTAGGCAATATTGGAAGTTACTTAAACGAAGGAGTATGTTTCAAATAGTGTGCTGTGTTTTATTTAATAATGTTAGCATATTTTTCTTTGGTGGATTAACTTAAAAGCTATTTTTGCAGACAAGAAAAAGAGTTTTGATTAATGCATTTACAGTCCGAGCATTACGTGATACTTTTCCACCTGCTAGAGGAGCAGGTATCAAAATCATACACGCGTATCTATAACTTATTAGCTTTTCTTCATTGTTATACTTTTGTTCCAACATTCTTTGCTCATAATTTGAATTTTGATTATTCAGGCATAATGGCTTTATGCGCCACCAGTTCCTACTATGACATCACTGAAGTTGCAACCCGGATTCTTCCTAATGTTGTTGTGCTCACAATTGATCCTGATAGGTTATATTTCACTATGAATTTTTATTTCTTGTATCCCCTTTACCACGTGAAGATGAGGAATATTCTAGTAACTTAACTTATCCCATTAATTAGTATTTTTAATGGGTTGATTCATCTTTATGGTATTGTAATTTGTTGCTGCTCGATTCCCTTGCCCCCCTGAACTGTATATTGATATGCTCACTATATATTAGTGCTATGTTATGTTTTGTTGTTTGTTTCTTGTCTTTAGGTTCTAAATATATGTCATTTTTATTGTTGTACTGTTGGTTATTTGGTCATTTGAGATAATCATTGCATTGTGTTCTTGTCATGGTTTAAACAGTGATGTTAGAACTAAGGCGTTTCAAGCTGTTGATCAGTTTTTGCAGATAGCAAAGCAACATTATGAGAAGGTATACTCTGAAACTGTTTTTTGGTACTGTTCTGATGCTTATCATGGTTCCTAAATTAGTCAGCATGTAATGTATATCTTTTAGAAGAAATTAGGTGTACAGGCTGAGAATATATATATATATATATATATATATATATATATATATATGTGTATACACACACACAGAGTGTGCGTGACTTCTATTTTTTAATCAACATTTCTATCTATCCTCTGATAATATGTTTTCCCCCCTACTACTAATATCCTTTGTTAACTTTTTTAATTTAAATAAAATATCTTCCATTAGAAGTAAACTATCATTTTGAGAAAGCACGAGTATATAGACGAATAATGTCTTTGATGATGATCATCTGATGTGATGCTGATGTTCTTCTGGTTTCTGTTAAAGACAAATGCAGCAGATAGCACTGGCGGTGCAAGTTTGGGAAGCTCATCTGTTCCAGGAAATGCTAGTTTGCTTGGGTAAGTCAGTTAAAACTTTGTGTGATTAAAAGTTCAAATGTTAAGAATGGAGGGGGAGAGAGTTAATATGAACATCTGATGTTAGATTTTCACTGGTGAGTAGCTTATTTTTCATTCAAAAACAGATTTTATGTAAAAAGATTCATGCATTTTGCATTATAAAAACTGAAAGCCAAAGTAACTAACCCAAACACACGTGTATGTTAACTTTTTTTTTTTAAAATATTTTTTTAATATCAGTGCCAATTAAAAATGCACATACATGATAATTGATTATTGCTTACATTTGTACTATATAACAAGTTTTATTAATATGTTATAATCTATTTTTAAAGTCTTAATTTAATGGCCACATATATGATCATGATAAATGGGGAGGACCACTGATGGTGATTAAACGTTTTTTGTTTTACTTACTGATGGTATATACACATACATGCATTCATTCATACTTGTATACAAATATTTGTGATATGATTGTTAGAATGCATGAAAGATATCAAGGAGTATCTTAATATCTTTAGGAAGTTATTTATTCTATAAAATTAAGAGTCTAGTATTATTAGTATAAATAAGAGTTAGTGTTTCATGTTTATCATCTCATTGTAGCACATCACAATATGAAAAAAATATTATTTAGTCTTTCATCTCTCAATTCCTTTCCTCAATATCTAGAGTTTCTTAATTCAACAATGATCTTAAAATACAAGAGGTTGTCATATTCTGGGAAGCATGAGTTGATTGCAAATTCATAATATATATAAACTAGATAAATTGGTAGGGACCCAATACTAGTAAATCTACCAATTTCATGAGGCATATTACTGATAGAGCACCAGAAATATATTAACAGAAATCCCATACAATACAGCAATAAACTTGTTGTACCCTACTATACCCTTATATATTACTTCCATCATTTATTTGACTTATTTCTATGAATAACTGTCATCAAGGTAGTTTCTAATTCTAATACAGAATTGTTAATGCACGATAAATTATTTTCTATCACATATTCTAACAATGAAATACTGTCCTAACTGCTATCCAATAGTACAACTATCTAATAATACATGACTGCTCACAATAGTTATTATTGTTACCCGTCAATTACCCCCCATAAGATATACATTTTCATCAAGAAATTGGTGCTGATTTAACCCTTGTCGTCATTCAGATGGGCTATGAGCTCCTTGACCTTGAAGGGTAAACCTTCTGATCATGCTCCAGTTGCTTCTGCGAGTTCAACTGCAATCACATCAACATCTTCTAATGGCACCACAGGTATGCCTCTAATCCTAACTGAAACTACCACTTCGTGTAGAGGAAACTATGAAATTGGCAGTTTGACTTATCTGTCAATTTTCTCTAGTTTTATTAACATAGAGCTTGTAGAAAAAGTAAACCCTTATTATGATACAAATGACATCATTTTAGTCTCCAAAGAAAACTTACTTTAATATCAGGCATAGAAAGTGCCATTAATTTGGTCCTCCAAAGTTGACATTTAGTCCCTCAGTTATTGAAAGTAACATGAACTTGGTTCCTTTTTCATAGGAAAATGACAATCCATCAAAGGATGAATAAACTGTTTTTACAGTCCATAAACAGAAGGATGTTTTTGGTGTTGCTTTTCTTGTTTGGGTGACTAAATTGATGTCATTTTTTTTTTGGAGGATTGATCTAAATCACCTGACTATAGCTAATAGATATGATTTTGTATTAATGGGATTTTATTTAACTGTTGAATGAAGAGAAAGAAAGGAACAAAAATGGAATAACACGGGGAAGATACAACTTAAGATATCACCCATCATCCTCATACCTTTTCCCTAGATGCCGAGCTATTAATCCTGCTTCTATATCTTATCTGTGAAGATGCCCTAATTCATTTTACTTAATTAGGATGGCTTTTTTCCATTATTACTTTTTATTTTTATTTTTATGACATATACCAAGGTTTATTTCATTTCTTTTTTTGGGGGTAATTCAGATATAGAGATGCCATCAACAGCGCCAGCCCGCGTAAGCTCTACAACAGATTTGGCCGAACACCCTGTCCCTACATCTCCTACATCAACCGATGGCTGGGGTGAACTTGAGAATGGAAGTAATGAGGAGCATGAAGGTGACAGGGATGGGTGGGATGAACTAGAACCACTTGAAGAGATAAAGCCAACTCCAGCTCTTGCAAACATTCAAGCAGCCCAAAGGCGGCCTGTTTCTCAACCTATTTCACAGGCAAAACAAGGTATTATATATTTATTTCTGTTGGTATTATGGTATGAATTTCCATGACTGCAAGTTACTATAAGTTTCAGTCTCCGATTGAAAGTTGACATCTATGGTTATTCCAGGCACGAAATAATGATAAATAATCTATGATTGAAACTTGAAAAACTGTTGCATGTTTTATGCCTGATAAATAATGACAAGATCCAGGAGTTGAAAAACTTTTGCATGTTCTATGCCTATAAATAATGACAAGATCCACCAAGTGATCGATGTGAGTGAATTCCTAATTCAAGTTTGCAGTTTGCACTAAATGTTGGGTTGGCGTTATTTTTGAATTACTAATCTCACTAAGAAATGCACAGAAAGCTTTTGCCATTTGTGACTGTAGATAGTATTATTACTGAAGAAAATAGTGTTTGAGAGATGTTTCCATTTTATTTGATAGCTTGTAATCTATAAATTCAAGTTTTGACAATTTCCAGGCAAATTTTTAAGTGTATTCATTTACATATTCGGTTACTTCATATACAGGAGGTGTATTAATTGCTTTTTTTATTTTAAAATCATTGTTACTTTTAGCCTCAAATTTGCGCTCCAAAAGTACACCAAAATTGAACAAGGATGAGGATGAGGATTTGTGGGGGTCTATAGCAGCTCCTGCACCAAAAACTTCAAAACCTTTAAATTTGAAAGCATCTAGAAGTGAAGATGATGATCCTTGGGCCGCCATTGCTGCTCCTGCACCCATTACCAAGGCCAAGCCCTTATCGGCTGGAAGAGGTAGGGGAACCAAACCTGCTGCTCCAAAATTAGGTGCTCAGCGGATAAACCGGACATCATCAGGCATGTAATCCAAATTTCCAAAGAAGAAAAAGGAATGGCGAAAGAGTTAATCTTCCTGCTATTTGCCCCTTTCTCCTGGTGGCTGTGATCATGTTAAGTTACAAGAATCCGTCTCTATGATATATGAATTACATTTGTGATTTTGTTGACATAATTGATTTGTAATACTATTCTTTTGCATGTCAAGAATTTAACCAGAAGGGAAATCTTCTTGGCAGCATTTTGTGAATTTTTGTAAGGCAACAAGGCTGTGTGTGGTATATTTGCTACATCTTTTGGGTTTTCTTAACATTTTTATTTGAAGAACAATTAACAATTAGATGTAATGTAATTAATTTCATAATATGTAGGAACGTTTTTTGTTATTGGATCTACTTGAACTTATTATTCACGGTTCAAATTTTGTGCACTGTGTGCATTTGCAAGTTGCAAATATCATTTTTTGTCGAGGTGACCTTGTTTTAGTTTAGATTTTGGTTGGAGGTAGTAAGGGGGAATGTGAACGAACTATGAGCGTCTAGAACTAGGGGCATTCATCCAAAGGTTAAGTAAGTAACTGATTAAATATGAAATATATTTAAAGGTCTTTCCGACAAATAAGGAATTGACTGCTATGAGGAAAACTTAGTCTTTTGGAATGTGGATTGCCCGCAGTTGGAGAGAGAAGGAAAGCTAGATATCTACCCTTTATTTTATTTTTTCAATTCTTACAATGTTTATATTTTATTAATAAAAGGAGATATGATGTAAATAGATTTTAGACTATTTTGTTCTTTTAATCACTTGCAAACTACTTAAGGGTGGCAAAATAAATAGATGAAATGAATAATTTTTTTAAACAGATTATAATGGATTTAATAAAAATAATCTATTAATTTATTTAAAGCAAAAAATTCATTTAATCTATTCATAAACAATTTTTTTTCATACATACATGAATATCAAATTCATTGATAAAAGTAATGTTTTAAAACAAATAATTTTTTTAAAATATTTTTTTAAGTCATTATATTCTTATATAATCTTTTAAAAGTTACAAATGATCTTTTAAAATTTCAATTTAGTAAACATTATATATTATAATTTAAGAGATTTTGAAAAAGTAGTAGATTCATAAATAATTTTGAATAATTCTTATATAATTTTGTTTTTTTTTTTACCAATGTTGGTAGTTAATATAATTTAAGAAGGAAAAATTTGCCACCCCTTTATGTCTTTGCATGGGATAACAGCATGAATAATGACAGCATCTGTGGTTAACAGCGTGAATAGTGTATGTAGCCGTCAACTTAAGTGATTAATAAGAATTTAAAATAAATAATAAAAGTCAATTACTTGTAATTATCTTATTTATACAAAATAATAAATAAAACATGCAATTGAATTACACATTTAAAAATAATTTATCATTTAATAATCTAATAAACTAATTAGAATTAGTAAAAATGACTTAAAAATATCATTAAAAGAATGTCCTATAAAAGTAATAAAATATCGCAATATCTAAAATCACATACAATTATATATTTTAAGACAAATTATTGCGGTGCTGTCTTGTTATTTTTTTTTATAATAATAATATAAACTAGAATAATTAATTGATTGAAGAATTAATTACAATTAATCATCTTCGATCTCTACGGTTATTAGTAAAACTTCACAGAAATCGTCCATTTAATTTATTTTATTATATACCAATTTAATGTTTAAAAATTAATAAATTTAATTTTAAGGGTTGGATTTATATCTGGACACCTGCAGTAAATTCGAAGAAGTGTTGCTAATAGAAAATTCCATTAAGGTCCAATGATGAAGGGGGGCATGATTATTCAACCACCACCACCACATCTTACACCGAAACGAACATATACACTAAAAATATAATTTAGGCAATAATTAAAATACATGAAATTGTATTAATCAATAAAAATATTGAAAAATCAAGACCGGAAAGGATATTGAAGAGAAGAAAAGGAAGTGAAAGTTAGATGCCATGAGTTGCAGTGTTTTATGAAAATTGTGTTAATGGGAGTTGTAGTAATCTCAACCTCGCTCTGTTGTTTGTTCCAAACAAAGCCCGCGAGACATTTGTGTCTCAAATTCAGATTGAAACCTTCACTTTCACATTCAATCACTAGCATGGCATTGACCAACAACACCACCACCACCGAAAGGAAGCTTCCCGTTCTGCTATTTGATATAATGGACACCCTTGTTCGTGACCCTTTCTACCATGATGTCCCTGCCTTCTTCGGAATGTCCATGAAGGAACTCATAGATTGCAAACACCCAACGGCTTGGATTGAGTTTGAAAAGGGTCTCATTGATGAGGTAAAAAAACACCAACTTTGATAAAATGATAATTCACTGCCTAGTATGGACCCTCTTTCATGTTGTGTGTAAAGGTCAAAGCTTTTGGTAGAAATTGAATTAGTATTTGGAGTTTGAATTGAATTGCACGTGGGGTGTTCGATGGGTTTACAAGTGTTTCAATCATGTCTTATCTTCTCCTCAACATATTATGTTGCCATATCTAGGTAAAGGATCATTTGAATCTTCTAAACATACAATATATGATTCAAAGGAGGGAAGGGGAGGTGACTGGTGAGAGATTTTAATGGAGAGGAGGAGAAATGAGAGAAGGAGAGGTTCCTTTTTTGTTTGGTTGAAGAGAAATGGAGACAAAAGTCATTTGATGTAACATAATAATATCAAAAAAGAAAATTCCTCCACAGGCTCCACTCTCCTCCATTTTTCGCCTACCAACAACACTGCTTGTGTTGCTGTGATCTTCATTCATAACTTTCTAGTTTATTAGAACTTCTTCATAGAATGGTTTGACATTTTCTACTTTCAACAACAGTTTTCTTATTAATCTGTCACATTTTCTTCCAGATGGAGCTAGCAAGAAAATTTTTTAAGGATGGAAGGGATTTCGATTTAGAAGGTTGGTTGGTCCAAGATTTCTAATAGACCTTAATCATGTTTATGTTGAATTAAACAGGCATTACATAACTTTATTATATTTCTATACTACTGTTTAGTTTTAAAACATAAAAAATCTATATCTTTCTCTCTTTTCTTTAAGAATTAGAACTTGTGTATTTTGAGTTTTTTTGTTGAATTTCAAGATCAAGCTGATTTAGATGAGTTGAAAATTGGCTTCGGTTCTTCCTTGTGGTGTATTCTAGAGTATTATATACACTTAAGAAAGTGTTAGCTTTCTTGCTGCTTTTGCTATAAAAAATTGTTATGGTCCTTATGGAAGTTGTAACAGTTACTGTTTCTCCTATAATAAGGTGGTGCCTGAGCAGTTGGTCAATAGTGGCAGTCTGTGATGGGAAGTTAAAAGAATCTTTAAGCGAATTTGTGTTTATTCAAGACAATTGTTGTGTTTGTTACTTGTTGTACCAATGCTTGCCGTAATTTTTCTGACAATAAAATTATAACATCATATTTAAAAAGGTGTGAAATTGTTTTAATGCAAGGTATACGGCCTATAGTATTAGTAATTATGTCGAGTTGCTATTAAGACCAGATTAATACTGTTCATAGTAGTTGTTAGAATAACATGATTCACGATTAAAATCACATGATTGATATGATTTAGCAAGCAATTGATGGATCACAAATGGCTTTGAATCATGTGATTCTGTATCACTGATATAAGTACGTTTCAATGATTCATTAATTTGTTTTTCCTTTTTGCTTTTATTTCACCAATTCTCATCAAATAATAGAAAAGTCCAGTATGCTTAAATTGTTAATTAAAAAGGTAACTGAAGGAGACTTGCGAAATTCACACCATACCCACTCATTCATTCAATCTATGCATCATATTTGATTGTTCCATTGCCCTTATTTCATTCTTTTTAAATAAAAGCTTCACACAGTCATCTTCTCATTTCATAACCCATATGCATCTAATTTGGCTATTTGCACGGTTTTCATTCTAATTTATTACATATGACAAAGAGCTTGTATTTTGTTTTGTGAAACTTATGGTTAAGTTGTTTTTACCAATTCCTAGTTAAAATTTTACACTGTACTGTACATAATTTATACAATATATTTCAAGTTATTTTCATTGTGTTTTTGAATTTTATGACTCAATGCAATTTACCATTTGTGACTAAAAAATTAGCTTGGCAGTCAATTCACCATTTGAATAGTGTTTGATGACCTTGGCACGAACAGTGGTAGTGATACATGTTATGAATGAACAAGATCCCAATCCCCAATATGTTATGGTTGATGTTAACCTCCCTTGTTCAATATCATGTTACTTTTATTTGCGAGTAGAAATTGGTTTACACATTGGGTGTCAGCATTGAATTTCAATATGAGCACACCTAAAGTAGGCTAAATGTATCATTCTTGTGCTCCAAGCAGCCCCCCCGCCCTCCTCTATTTTTGTAAAGCGACTGACTTGCAGATTTGTTTCCAATTTTCTGTCAGGCCTTAAAACTTGTATGAGAAGTGGATATTCATACATAGAAGGCATTGAACAATTGCTTCATTCCTTAAAGCAAAATAACTACGAGATGCATGCTTTTACAAACTATCCTATATGGTATGATAGTTGTTTTTCTATTGAGATTTGTGCTTTTATTTTCGTATCGTCCTACTAAATCTTTTGTATTGTAGGTACCAGTTGATTGAAGACAAGCTAAAACTATCAAAATATTTATCGTGGACATTTTGTTCGCATGCATTTGGTATAATACATAATCTGTCTGCCATTTGTTTGGCTCTTCTCTCTCCCTCTCTCTATCTTTATGCCTCTTACATTGATCATTTTTTTCCCATTGAATAATATCTAGATTCTAGTGGGACAAAACAAATTCATGATTTACCGTTAGTGATGGCTAAAGCATACATTCAAACTATCCTGTTATGCTAACCTTTTACTGAATATAGACCCGTTTACACTGTACAATGTGTCTCAGGAAAGAGGAAGCCTGATACTGAATTCTATAAGGAAGCTCTGAGGCATCTTGAAGTTGATCCAACGAATTGCATTTTTGTTGATGACAGGTTCCTGTTCTCCTTATACACTAGTTCATTTATCAAAATCAAACCACAGAATCACATCATTTATCTGTGATACATTCATAGGGTCTAAAACCAAAACTTATATAATTTAGACCCATTTAGCAATAATGATTTTTTTATGAAGGACAGCAAACCAATTGAAGCAGTATTTACAGGGTCTAAAACACATTTAAACCCTTTCTTTTTATGATTCTTAAGAAAGGAGAGGCACTCTTCCAGAATTGGTCTGTTCTGCAACAAAATCACTGAATAATTTTGTAAATAAAGTGTGCGGTGGATTAAAAGAGTTGAATTTATTTAAATTTGCTAATTAGTGAATTCTAGAACTAATTTATTTCAAAGTGTGCATAATTTATATGGTTACTGTTTCAGGCAAAAAAATGTGGATGCAGCAATTGAAGTTGGCATCAAAGGTGTACATTTCAAGAATGTCAATTTACTGTGTGAAAAACTGTCATTGATGGGGATTGACATTTCAACAGATGAAGTTTTATTTGATTCTGTTTCTTAACTACACCAATTTCTTTTCTTGGTGGAAAGGGGATGTACCAAACTATTGATTTTATATACCATTCATACCAAGCTATTGAGCTTTGTTAAAGTGACTTCTGATTTTTTACCCCCACAACAATACAACTTTATCTTCTCAGCTATCGAGTATTAAGGGTGTTATTGGAGTGAAAATGAACTAGGTGAATGTACTCAGAAGTTTAGAGCCATGGTGCACCCCTTTGGACCGGGGCAATGCTGCATGAATATATTTCATGAAGAATGTTAGCAATTCACTTTGATATACTTTTTAAACCTACTTTTATTATTTGGTGATGAGACCCATAAAATGATGTGGTTCCTACACCCTATAATAAATGTTATAGAATATTTTGATACCATTTCTCCACACCTTTGGATTAGATCAATAATTGTCATTAATGGATGTCAAAACATTTTATCTCAAGTGTTAATCTAATGGGTTCCCTCCTCTCATCTATTGTTTTGATCAGTTGCAAAAAAATTTCACTCCCTCCCACGCAGACCACACCAGAGGTTTCTGTAAAGTGTCTCTGAATAGGAAGTCTACCGGTGTGTGTTCTAAGAGAGAGATGAACTGGTCATTTGTTGGAATTGATGAAGTGGTAGAAAAATAGGAAAAAGAATCCAGATGAGTTGTGTGGTTGAATGATCTGTGTTGCATATGTAAATCCTTAGTAAAGGGGTTTGTCTTGAACTTAATCAATGTGATTAATCACTAAATAACTTAAAGGCATATGACTGTTATTAGCCACTCGCAAGTGTATAGTTTTATAAATTTTATGTTTGAGATGTTTAGATTTTAATGTGAAGGATTGTGTTAGAGATTCTATATCGATTAGTGATATGATTATAATAATGTATATAAGTAAAAAATAATTTTTATTTTACAAATCGGTTTTTATAATGTTGAATTAAATTCAAATATATTTTCTAAGACTTTGAACATGAAAATTATGTTAATCTATGAGAGGAACATATGGTTATTACTTATTAGCCTCAATCATTTACCATTCACTAATGACTTCTTACACATCTTATGAGTGCCATCACAAACTTAGTTTGAGTTTCTTTTTTGTCCACTAAGGAGTTGGATATTTTCATTTTTCTCAAGAACATTGACACTATGCATTGGATACATCATTCCTTATGCAGAGGGTACGATAGTAGTCTTTCCCTCCTTCAATGCATATTCATTGTGTGCTTCTGGAAACTCATGAGCAGAGTTTGAGTAATGGTGAGCTCATATTTCATTTTTTTTTTGGTAATCCCTGTTAGAGACCATAAATGCACATAAAGTAAGTATTTATTTTCTAACATAATGTATTTCATGTTCAGGGTCACAGGACAAACTCATATTTCATATACACAAGTTTATATACAAGAATATTTGTGTCTTCAATCTTCATCCTATAACTAAATATTAACTCTTTATAAATAAATGGATAATGATATATTTTAGAGAAATTATAATTGATTAAAAATATATTTTTATTAAATTATACAACAAAATAATTATGAAATATTTGTTGGATACTTATGAATTAAGTATCCAACAAAATATAATTGTTGATACATTATGTTAAATTTATCAAATACGACTATAATCTTAAAAATTAAATAATGATATAATGATTTTAAAAAAAAAGTTTTAATAGGAATCTTGGCACAAAAAAGTTTTGCCAAAAAAAAAAATTGTGTTGTAAAAATATTTCACATTTAAACTTAGAAAACCAATATCACCACGATTTACGTTAAGGTTTAGAACACCTTCCGATATTTATATAGTGATGTAGAAATTCGTAATAACTTTAATATGAGAAGGTAATAAATGATTTTTTTTTTACTAAAAGGTATTTAAATATGTATTGAATTGGCCGTACTAATAAAAAGAAATGTTTTTAACGCTTCAAATGATCAAGTTTTTATATTTTTAAACTACATAACCGAGGAATTAATTGAAATTGAAGTATATTAATAGATTATGTATTGGTCTTTTAAAGTTTAGGTATATTACGATAAAATTATAAATTTAAAATTTATTTTGAATTTAATAATTGTTTTAAATTAACTTAAACAAATATGTTTAGAGTATCACACCTTAAAGAGTATTATAATGAAATTGAAGTTTGTATTAATTAGGGATGACAAATAAATTCGTACCCGTGGGTAATACCGAACCCGTCCCGATTTTGACGGGGAATACCTAGTTTGACCGAGTACGGGTACAGGTACGGGTAAAATTCGATAACTTAAACCGAGTATGGATACGGGTATGAGTATATACATACCCGTCCTATACCCGTACCCGTACCCGTACCCGTACCCGATTTAATTATATTAAAAAAATTTAATATTTTATTATGTGTAATTATTTATTATAATGTGAAATATTTATAATTGTATAATTATTAAGAAATCTCTTGATTAAAATATGAGATAAAGAAATAATCTAATTATAATTATAATATAATAGAAAAATAATTTAAAAATATTATATATTTTTTTGCAAAAAAAAAAATATTTTTTACGGGTATGGGTATACCCGATACCTGATGGGGGACGGGGATGGTGATGAAAATCACATACCCGGCGGGTACGGGTACGGGTACGAGGATGAGTTTGTGTCGCGGGGACGAGGACGGATATCATAAAACACGTACCCGACCCGTCCCGTTGCCATCCCTAGTATTGATATTTAATAGGAAAAGTAATCCAAACAATTATCAAAAGAAATTATAAATTACATTTAATTAGCAACTTTTTATTTTTGTTCGTCCGTGGAGTATCCACCGCCGATAACAGTGACTAATTTCCTCGCTACGTTAGAGGCACTCAAAAGGTGGGATAACTGACCCCAAAATTTAACGCGCTGCATACACAAAGCACGATTCAAACCCTTGACTTGCTTAAATTACTAGTTTGTAATTAAAAAATAAAAATCTTGTTGGGATTAAGAGACGTGAAAAAAGAAACGTCATATTCTTTATTTATTCAATAGTCTCATGTGTGCCTCCCTACGCTATATGCCGTATATAAATTCTTTTTATATAATCAATTTCTGAAACATCTTCCTAAATAATCAACAAAATTAATGATTTAAAATTGGTGGAAAAATCTCAATAAAAAATAAAATATAAGGTAACAACCAATTTAATTTTCGCTGAAATCAATCTTTATATATTAAATAGAGATTTTTATCTGAAAGTATTTTTAGAGTTTTTCTTTAATAAGATGTTTATAAAAAAAATTATTTTATTATCTAATTTGATTTTTATTTATAATAATTATCAATTAATTAAATATTAATATTTTAAAATAAATTATTAACAAATAAAAAATATTTTTTATAATATAAATTATCTATCATAAATATAAAATATAATTTATATATTTAAAAATATTTATATATACTTATTTTAAATATAACTTATATATTTAAATATAATATTTTAATTATATTATATATAATAAATACATATGCATTATATAGACATATAGATTAAAATACTAGTGAGATTTGAACGTTGAATCTTTATCTGATACAATTTACTCAATTGTTTTTTAATATTAGATTGACTGATCATAGATCATTTTGTAATAAGATAAAATTTTCATTTCAGTAAGATAATATCTTATTGTATTGTCTTTCTTTTTCTTTCCAAATTCACTACAAAAAAATCTACCAAATTAATTAATTTTAGTTTTATATTATTTTTAAAAAAATAATTGTTTATGCTTTGAAGTTTCTTTTTTACCTAAGAATTTGGTCAATTTCTCTAAATTTTAATTATTTATTTTTAAAATTTATTTATTTCAATTCACTTTTATAAGCTGAATTAGAGTATATTATTTTAAGTATGATTTAACTTTTAGTACATTCCCGAAAATTAATACGTCATTCCTGTGAGACCCCCGTTTTTAATTTTAAAGTTATAGTATACTATTAGGTATTGAGCTCCCTTCCTATGTGATGTGCAGTTCATGGAAGACCAAACCATTGAAGATATTAACAAGGTGGAAAAGACTACACTCGAGAAAGATAATAATTTGACTCCACCAAATTCTTCTATCTCCTATTCAACACGGAGAACACACGCATTAATTTCTAATCAAAATACGTGAAGTTCTAACATGATTTGAAAAGGAAAAATATAGTTGGACACTCAAGATGCTATTCAACACTATTCAAGATGTTATTGAACACTTAGTGAGAGATAGATAAAAATAATAATATAAATATGATAGGAGATAGATAAAAAGAAATATATAAATATGATAGGGGATGGATAAAAATAATAATATAAATACGACATGTGATATAATTTGATAGAAAAAGATAGAAAAAGAGAAATTTAAAGTGTTTAATTATTAAAAATGTGAAGTGTTTAAAAAAAATAATTACTCAATTTGATAAGGTCTCACTTTTCCACTTTGTTATTCTTTCTTTTTCTCTTCTTTTCCTATGTATTTGAATGTGAGGATGGAAGTATAAAAAGTAAATAGAAAAAGGTAAAAATGAAAATATAAAGAAGTAGATAGAAAAGGTGAGAAAAGAAGAAAAGACAAATAAGTAAAATAAATAAATATTGAAATTTTTTAATAAGAGAAAAATAATACATTGGAAGGAAGATTAATTTTTTTATTGGTTTACATTAGATTAAATAAATAAGTTAAAATATATTATATTTTGATTTATTAAAATACCGTTATAGAAAAATTGTTGATTTTGATATTAATTATTTTTAATGAATTTATGTAATCCATTATGATGAACATATAATTGATTATATAGATTTTCAATAAACATGAAAAATGTAAGAGAGGTTCATATAATCGACTATGTAATAACCATGGTGAATTATATGGACAGGAAACTCCCTTGAGTGCATAATAACTTGCAATTCCCACGTGAAAAAATACATATAAAAAGACTAAAATGGTAAAATAACTTAAATCTTCACAAATCTTTTCATTTCACCTGGTGATCATAAAAATTGTGTGGGTCTCCGCAAGAAGTTACCTTCCTTTCTTTGCATTTCATTCGTCAGAAACCAGACACAAAATTCAACATCTTCACAATTCTTCACAAATCTGACTAGTTCCCTCCCTCCCCCTCCACTTGAATCATTGCTACCAAACCAAGTATTAGGGTTTTCTTCCTTTTGTACACTGGTTTTTCTCTTTCTCACTAACTTTAAGTACTAAAATATAAAAAATTAAAAGAATTAAAATATAAAAAAATTGAAAGGACCGATATATATATATATATATATATATAAATGTTCACATAATATATTTACTAAAAATTGAGATAGACTAAAAAAATACTCAATATTATAGTATCTTTTAAGTGTAAGGAGTAAAAAATAAAAGTTGTTTAAATATAGAAGTTAAAATGTAAAAATATAGTGAGTAAAACATAAAGTGAAACACATATCAATATCATGTCACTTATTGTGCCACATTATTCATTATTAACCACATTAACTTTTTTTAATGAATAGACTAAAAAGAAACTAAAAGAGTTTGTATATAAATCAAAACAAATTATTTTTAATAAGTATAGAGTTTAAAAAATAAAATTTGTGTAACTATGAGAATCAAATGAATAACTAATTTTTAATTTTAAAGTTATAGTATACTATTAGGTATTGAGCTCCCTTCCTATGTGATGTGCAGTTCATGGAAGACCAAACCATTGAAGATATTAACAAGGTGGAAAAGACTACACTCGAGAAAGATAATAATTTGACTGATGGTAATCTCATGCGGTTGCCTGTTCACAATCTAGATAATGTTGAGACTGATGCTTCGAATGATGAGCAACATGGTGATGTTGGTTTTTCTCTTTCTCACTAACTTTAAGTACTAAAATATAAAAAATTAAAAGAATTAAAATATAAAAAAATTGAAAGGACCGATATATATATATATATATATATATAAATGTTCACATAATATATTTACTAAAAATTGAGATAGACTAAAAAAATACTCAATATTATAGTATCTTTTAAGTGTAAGGAGTAAAAAATAAAAGTTGTTTAAATATAGAAGTTAAAATGTAAAAATATAGTGAGTAAAACATAAAGTGAAACACATATCAATATCATGTCACTTATTGTGCCACATTATTCATTATTAACCACATTAACTTTTTTTAATGAATAGACTAAAAAGAAACTAAAAGAGTTTGTATATAAATCAAAACAAATTATTTTTAATAAGTATAGAGTTTAAAAAATAAAATTTGTGTAACTATGAGAATCAAATGAATAACTAATTTTTAATTTTAAAGTTATAGTATACTATTAGGTATTGAGCTCCCTTCCTATGTGATGTGCAGTTCATGGAAGACCAAACCATTGAAGATATTAACAAGGTGGAAAAGACTACACTCGAGAAAGATAATAATTTGACTGATGGTAATCTCATGCGGTTGCCTGTTCACAATCTAGATAATGTTGAGACTGATGCTTCGAATGATGAGCAACATGGTGATGTTGATGATCAATAGAATGGAGATGTATTATGTGCTATGCCGGGTGTAGTGACCAGACGGGTCGTTACAATTCCTAATATTTTAATTTTTTTATTTAACCTTTAAAATAATTATACAAGTTCTACTCTTTAAATTAATAATGTCAGGACCGGAGAAATTTATTAATTTAGAGAGTTATTAATTTATCGATAAATTAATAATTATTAATTTAAAGAGTTTTTAAGTAATTATACTGTACATACCAAATAAAAAAGCAAATTAGTCCATGCCTCTTAGAATTACGTTGTAGCGAACCTTGGGACTCAACGTAAATTAGTAACTTTTGAAGTACATATGCATTGAAAATCAATACGTAATGACTTTTGAAGTATATATGCATTGGAAATCAATAATGACTTTTGAAGTACAGTAAATATAAACAAGAGGAACAAATGTGTTCAATGTATTCTTAAACAAGTTTGGCATATATAAATTACATGAATGTGTTAGAGTATTCAAACCATATCTCACAAGATGACTTCTCATCTAAAAGGTGTTGCAAATAAGAAAAGTTAGAGATGAGCTCCAAATAGACTTGAACTTTAAAGGAAAACAGACAACTATTGAATCATATTTCAATAGAGTGTAATATATTTTTTTTCAGTTTCTATGAATTATTAATTTATGATTTTCTTGGGACCGAAAATTATAAAGGGATCTCCCGAAAAATTATTATCTTATTATTTTATCGAGTTTTTCAATTTTTTACATTAACCCAAATCGGGACCGGACAAATTTATTATTTTAGAGAATTTATTAATTTATCGAGTATTAATTTAAAGAGTTTCTACTGTATTTTAAGCATGTAATGGCTTTGAGTTGAATTTTATAATAAAGAAAATGTAATTAAGGAGAGAAATTTATTCACATTAATCAGTTAAATGTGTGTTTGTTTTATCATTTAAACTTTCATTATATATATTTCTCAGAATAAAATGTGACTGAAAAAACTTGATTGATTGAAGTTTAACGGAAATTCAACGAATATACAAACATACTCTAAATTCTGACATTAATTAAATGATAAATATTTTACACTAATAAATATTTCATATCGACCCATAATAATTTTTTTTGTGTGTAATTTAACTGGAGTATTTTACTTCAACAAGCACAAGTAGAATACTATTTATAACTTATTTTTTAATTTTTTTTGTGATAAAGTGACATATAAATCAACTTCCATTAAGTTATATCAATTTAATAAACAATATCAAATTTTATTCTCATAATACAATTAAGTTAAGTACTAAATAGAAATTTGTGAAAGATAGAGATTTTATTTCGATAAGTTAGTTGAACCGTGAATTATTTATCATGATTTATAGATCATCAGAGATAAAAAAAATAAAAAAAAGGTAAAGTTATAGAAAATTTTATTGTTCTATTTTAATAATTACCTTACTAAATAAGAGATGTAACAAAAAGTACTCTTATTATACACTTATGAAAAAGATGGTTAGTATGAGAAATCAATCATATTATAGAGTGTTATCATATTTTCAGATAAGCTAATCAGCGACTAATAAATTTGTTAAGTGTGATTTTCAACATTCTAAGTACTTCATATCTATAATTATCCTCCCTAATAGATTCATCTTCCTTTATTTGCAGATAGTTCTGCTATTCCTTTTATTTTTTGTTTTTGGTGATTTTTAGTTTGAATTTTTAGCTCTGGACTGTATATATAAAAAAAAAAGAATAGCATTTATTAAAATTAAACATGCAATATTTTCTTAACCAATAACCTGATTTTATTTAACAAATTAATATAACGCTATTCTAGATTTTAGCGAGGCAAAGCAAAAGGGTAGGTAGAAGTTGAAGTGAAGAGTGTAAGATATTTGGATTGGAGGAAATTGTGGTGTTTGGAAACAGAACAGAACAGAACAGAACAAACATGTCGTGGTGTTCTTGCGCTAAGCCTCTGACGTTGCAGTTGCAATTGCAATCAAGACCAGCCTCATTGATCCATTCCCACGGTGGAGGAGTAACAGTTACAACCTCATCAATGTCTATTCGACCCTCTTCTCCTCTTGTTTTCACCCACAACTTCCACTTCCAACCCAAACTCAAACGCGCATCCACATCCATTCGCTGCTCCTCTGGTACTGCCACCCCTCTTTCCTTTCATGGGTTTTCTTTTAACAAGCTAAAGTTTCAATTTTTACTGTTCTCATATGAATTGCAAACTTCAACTTTTCACAATTCACCCCAACCCCTTTTGGGGAATACCTTCAATTCAATTAAGTGCCCCCTTTTTTTTTGTCAAAATAATAATCATGGTTAAATTTAGTTAGTTGAGTATTTTGGGGAATAGCTTCAATCCAATAAATTAAGTACCCCCTTTATTGTCAATTCATATATTTTACAAAACTTAAATTTGGTTAGTTGAGTGTTCTAATTGATGTTTTACTTCGAAAATAAAGGTTTGCTCTAAATGTTAGCATGTGAAACTCTAATCGTAATTAGAGAATAGCAGAAAAAATAACTAAAAAAATTGCATCCAAATTTTTTTCAGCGGCAAAAATTGTAACTTTGGGTTTTGGTTTGTTTCAGCGTTGACTCCTCAATTGAAGTCTACTTTGGATAAGGTTATTGCTACAAATAAAGTAGTTCTGTTTATGAAGGGAACTAAAGACTTTCCACAGTGTGGATTCTCAAACACAGTGGTGCAAATATTGAAGTCTCTTAATGTTCCTTTTGAAGCCATAAACATACTTGAAAATGACATGTTGCGCCAAGGGCTGAAGGAGTATTCCAGTTGGCCTACCTTTCCTCAACTCTACATAGAGGGAGAGTTCTTTGGTGGCTGTGATATCACTGTTGGTATGTGATGTCTCACTTAGATTTTTAGTTCTAATACTTGATTGATTAGTTAATTTTGCCTCTCTCATTGTTTGCTATATAATAATGGCCTTGTAATGAGCCAATTATTGCAAAAGCTTATGCCGTTAGATGAAGACATGTCAATAGTTTATGTTAGGCTTAATTGCACCTTTAATCACCCATGTTTCACGATTTCACTAATTTTGTCACCTAATTTTTAAAATTGTACATTTTGTTTCTCAGTTAGTTGACCATTTGACGTCATTAGTTGATTGTTTATATGGCATATGGATGATATTGTGGCATAATATATCACATCAACAATTAATGTTCCATGTCAGCGATTAACTAATGGTGTTGGATACTCAACTTATATGGTGACAAAATATGAAAATTTTTGAAAGTTTGGTGACAATTTGTGAAATTGTGAAACATGGATGGAAAAAATGTGCAATTAAGCTTTTATGTTATTATATATGACCCACATGGATACTAAATTAGTAATTATAAATAAGAGAGTCAAAATACACAAGTTAAAGGGTAGAGCGACCATAAATTCACATTTTACATTTGACCTAGGAAATATGAAAACCAAGTTGCTACTAGTAATTAGCGTCTTAAAACTTATGAAAATATTATTCTAGGATTAGCCTACACCATAACATCTCACTCTTTGGAGATTGAAAAATCACTATAGCTTGAACCTAAAAAGAAAAGGAGTCTTGTTGATTGATAAATGAAAAATTACAAATGCCAAAGCTGATCAGATTGATGTCAATGTAACATGAAGATAGAGATGGTATTCTGCCATGACAGAGACGCTGTTTTATAATCAGCTATTGCCAAATTGATGCCTAAAAAATGATAGAGTATACTGCACATTAACCTTAATTTATTATATGTTTTGTTACATATATGTACCTTAATTCCTTTTTTGCAATTGATCCATTAAAGTTGTAAAAAACAAACACAAAAACTGTTGCTTTCAAACATGTTATAATCTTATTAAGGTTCTCCAGCTTTTATCTGTGTAATCTGCTGTTATAATTGACTGCATAAGAATCAGTTATTGGGTTTATCTTTTTCTCATTAGATCATAATGCCATATTATTACCACACTAGATTTCTAGAAATTACTTCCTCTCCTCTCACTTTTTTTTTTCTTTTGCTATAGAGGCATATCAGAATGGGCAATTGCAGGAGCTGTTGGAGAAGGCAATGTTATCCTGAAGACATGCAAGGAATGAGAGGATTTCCCAAGTTTGTAATCTTCCCAAAGTTATACCGTGGCCTAGTGATAATGGACCAATAAATTGTTTGATGCATTGTGTCAACAATTATTTGAATACAAAACGGACATGTCGTTTGATGATATCTCATTAAATAGACTTTTGAAGTACTAGTTGCTACTGCTAACCCTGTTCAATTAACCATTTAAAACTGTCATGTTGCTGCTACTTGTCATCTTATAGATACATCTTTTTGTTGAGGAATCAGCTTCTCCATTTATGGGCAAAGTTTAAGTGCACTTGACCCTCCTTATATAGGAAGAGAAATCCTAACACTTTTGAATACACTCTTCACTATTAGTTGAAATTTATTGAAAATAAAAAAAATTGGTGAATCTCACTCTTCATTTAATGAGTTTTATTTTTATTTTTGCAGTTTTCAATGATTTTTAACTGATAGTAAAGTGTTAGAAAGAGTATGATAGTGTGTTGTGAGTACTCATTTATATATTGTAATAATGGTGGAATTTTAAGTCCTATGCACTAGATTATGCCTTTGATATTTAAAATGTAAAATCCAATTCAATATAAATCACCATGAAGGGGCTGGTGGGGCTTGATCTTTATGGAATTAGCACTCGTAATAGCATAATGATAGTTTGAGAAGATTATCCATGGGGAAAACAATATGATGATGATATTACCTGTATGAGCCAAATCTATAATGCACTATTTAAGTAATGGTGTATTGATTCAAGATCCTTGTAGTTTATTTTGTTTCTGCATATAGAAATGGTTATTGAGTTGGTTGGTTTATGAAATTGGGTTACCCCCATCCACCCAAAAGGAAAAAGAAGTGTTAGTGACATTTTCTAGAACTTTCTTTTCAACATACCCTCTTATTTTTTGAAATTTATGCAAGTCTCATTAATTTGGGAATAAAATCCATACTTTACATGAATTTCACCCAATAGAAAAGAGTGTGTTTGTTTGCATTTCTCATGGTTTAATAACTTTTAATTTTTTTTGTTTAAATTTTGCGTTCCTTTTTTATTTTTTATTTTTTTAAATGTGTATATTTATCCTACTTTAGGTTATTTCCATACTGATTGGTTGATAAATCATCATTTTTTTCTTACACATTTTTTGTCTTTTAAATTTGGAGTAAATTTATTTTAAGGCTCTCAAGTTTAAAATTAATCTTATGAGTCCATATAATTTCAAATTTTTAGTATTTTTGACAAGAACAAATTAAGTTAACTATGTATTGAGATTGATGTTACCTTCTCACTAAAAAAAGGCACCGGTAGACAAGTTGTTTGGCAAATTTAAGTAGAAAGCCTTAAACTTCTTTCAAATTATAGTAATTAAAAAAATTTTTAAATTTGAGAGACTATCTCATATTTAAGGGAGTGAAAATATATTAATTTTTTAATCAGCTTGATTATGTATTTATAAACTTTACCATATGATCCGATCATGTTTGTTTATTCATTCATTTTATTTTATAATTCATAACCTGAACTAAGGTTGGTAGGTTAGTAGAAATGTGTAGTGTAAGTCAAAGTAGAAAAAGTACAATTATTCATGCTCATTAAAAGGGCTGACATGACATTACTTATGCTCAATATTACTACAGCCAATACGTTATTTCCCGAACATGGGAACCAAGGATATAGCGTCACTATTGGAAAAGCACCAAGCACTAACAATTAAAACATGCTTCTATGATTTCATTACTTATTTATAAGGTGAAAGTACAAAACCAAGTGAAGCAATGCTTCCACTAACAGCCAGAGGAAAAGTCAGGCTCAATTTGGAAGCTAATGCTGTCAACATAAGAATTATCTCACGTAAGCGAAAAGATTAAATAGTATAAGCCTGAAAAAGTACACCCACTCAACCCTTTATGTCGTTGAAATAAACGTTATATCACTCAAATTAATTTTGAGTCTTTGATGGCCATAGCTGTGTGTGATTGTCTGTCCGTTCCAAACAACAAAGGGAACATTTTTTGTCTGTATGCCATAAGTTGTATTACCCTTGTGGTGAAGTAGCAATATTATCTGTCTTGAAGTTATTTAACATATCATAACATTAAAAAATGAAATCTATAAAATAAAAATTTAATTAAATCTTTAATCTTTCAGGTATCATAATTATATAATTTTAATCTTTCAAATTTCAAATTGTACTGATTAAGTCTCTCGCATTTATCATCTGGAATCACCATCTTAATTTTGATCTAATCTTTAACAAAATTAGTTGACGTGACAATTTGGACATAATGTGATAGTGATTCAACATTATAATTGTATTGATTTAGTAGTTGTATTAATGATACTTGTGGTAGATAAATTATCGTCTTACGATGAACAGATGTCCAAAGGAATGTCTTTCATTCAGAGAAAATTAATGACTCATGCTAGATGAAATCAAAGAACTTGGAAGATCAAAATTGTACATTACACGAGCCTAAAAATACAATTAAGCTTAAAAATAACATACAGAGAGATTTTACGTTCAGAAGAGCTGTGCATTCGCAACAACAATGCCCTGTAAGAACAAGTTTGATGCTACTCTACTGTGCACAAAACAAAACAATGGCTATACAAGGTTATGTGAAATCAATATTGACACGGAAAATAACTTGACATGAAAGAACCAAAACCACTTTCTCACACAAATGTGAACCACAATACTTTGTCCACACTTAGCAGCTTTAAATGTAGGAAGGAATATCTGACCAGGAGTTGTGGAGGTCCATGCAGCACATTCTCTTGTTTGTATTTGCAAATATATTTTTATCATTATTAGTTCTCTTTGGTCAGTTTTCAATCAAGAATCAATTTCCATTGTGGAACATCCATGCTTGTAAAAATCATGGAACAATCTGAGCAAGGCACGCTGATAAAGACTTCGCTAAGGTTCCTTGGATTTTACTGAAGAGTGCATAGATGAGGAAGAATGGAGCAGAGACTGTGCAGCTAATAATTTGTCCCTTAGCATGGCATTATACTCGAATAAATTTTTTAAATTCTTCTGAATATCGGCCATGTCCATTTCAGAGCCACCCTTAATTTCTGCAATTGAGTTTGCATACAACTTAATACATGAGAGGTAGTAAAGGCATTTCCATTAACAAACAATTTTTAAAATAAGAAAATTATAAAGGTATGCTGAATCATTAAAGAAAACAATGTCGAAACAAGCTTCGACAATAACAGATGACAATAGATACTCTCAATAGCTATAGAGCAGATAAACCATTTGTATGTAAAATTGAAACATAATTGTTGCATTTATAGTAAGGGTTGAAATAGGTTGTAGTGTAATGGTTTTTTGTACCCATGAACTAGTGCTAAATGTGTCGAGCACAAAGCTCAAGCTAAATAACATAATCATACTAAGTTAAATATAAATACAATAAAATAACTATTTTAGTGTATATGTGTGTGTCATGTTACAACAGCTGTGAAGCCTGTAGTCATAATGCCACCCATGGGCCATGATCTAACAAGAGTAGCAAACCTTTGAAAGGTAATAAGTAATTAGTAGCATAAAACGACTAGCCATGGAAGACATTTATAATGCTGGAAAAATGGATCTAAGACTCGGTTCCAATTTTTGAAACTTAGCAAAGTAACAAGCAACAAAAGAGGTTGCTTTTAAGTGTCGTGTATTACCTAAAAAGTCATGTACATCTTTTAAGGGTGTCATGTATCACCTAACAATTATATTGGTCAATATATCATGTAACAAATACACTAATAATTATTAATTAGTAAGCTGGTATAAACTCAAATTAATCTGTACCTAATGAAGGTGGGGGAGGAATGAAGTTCTCATCAATAATAGAAGATTCTTGAGATTGAGACTGAGGGGAATCTTTGCTCAAGCCAACATTCTGCAGCTTTGCCGTATTTTCAGAATGCAGCTTGGATTCATTTGTGGATCCAAGCGGTTTGCAGCTCACTGACTGGAACACAAGACATTGATAGATGAAAATTAAAAAATACTCAGGTTCAAATATTTTTTTAATAGAAAAACTAGCTACAAGCCAATCATGATAACTGCATAGCTTAGATTGCATACATAGAGGACATGTGATATCAAAGGAGTCTTGTCATACGATGAGAGGAACATTTTGACCATTAATAAATGAAACACACTCTTCGTACTAAGGGTTTAACTCTGTCAACCTTAAAACACTATACGTGTTAAGGGGAGATGTTGGTAAACTCCTTAAAACACTCTAAGTGTTAAGAGAAGATGTTGGTGAAGACCTTAAAGCACTTTGTGTTAAAGGTGAATGTTGGTGTAAACCTTAAAACATTCTTCGTGGTAAAGGTTTAACTCGGTCGATATTAAAACACTCCTCGTGTGAAATGCCCTATTTTCAGTTTAAAGAGAGGAAACTGGAAAAATAAAATGCAGGTTCACTTGATCACTTTTAAAAATTGGACTTTTAGACACTCACCAACATCATGGCAGTAGATTTACCAAATTTACGTGACATCAATCATGAGCATTAACAAACCAAAAAGAAACGAGAAAGAAAGAAAACGATCCAGTTTTGAAAACAAAACTGCACCAAAGAATGTGCAATGTAAAAGCTTTACCTTGTTGGCAGGTAAGTTGGGTTTCTCGTACAAACTTATAGAGTCTTTTCTGCTTTTCAACCTTCGTTTGTGTGTTGAACCACTACCACGAACTGAATGCAACATAAATCCACCACAATCTGTTTCCTTTCTAGTGCTATTATAGTTGTCATCTATTGTAGGGCAGCCATATGTGTACATTACATATTTCCTCAACTGATTTAAAGGGGAAATGTCAGTAATATAACAACAAATAAGAAGAATAAAATTAAGAAAAAGAAAAATAATGTGACATATACAAGATGTTTGAACAAGTTGATAGATAAATTACTTTGTCCCAATGTTCTTGAGCTTTACGCCGATTTCTAATTCTGCGCATAATGCTATCTTCATTTCTGAGCTTCTTTATCCTATACTCACACTAGAATGTAAAATAAGTTTAGAACAATATATAGGTATGAAAAATATGATTTAATCAGCCTACAAGCAATTAAAATCCATAGCAATCAAATATCTATAATGCATTATTTGAAATATACAGAATGTGCACACCTTTACAAGGAAATAATATTGTGAATAGTAACAAGTTAAATACTAATAAAAGGGAATTCACAGAATAAGAAAATAACTATGCTCTCTAATTAGGATATATATTGCATCCCA